GTGTGTGTGTGTGTGTGTGTGTGTGTGTGTGTGTGTGTGTGTGTGTGTGTGTGTGTGTGTGTGTGTGTGTGTGTGTGTGTGTGTGTGTGTGTTTGTTCGTGTATTCTTTGACCACTTCTAGAGGTGGTTGTGTGCCGGTTGTCGGTAAGATTACTCTTTTGGTGAAGAATGTGTTATTCAGCACTATTTTGTAGGTGGCTTGACTGTCTGGTAATATCCGTTGTTTTGTTGCCCTGTTTAGGCAGATCGGCCTCACCTTTTGGAGAGCTCGCTTTCAGTTGTTGTGGAGACCTCTCTTGTGTTTTTTTGTCTATTATAAATAAATCCCTAAGTTTGTACCATCTGTTTTCCTCATCCTTTTCATCCCGTTCTATTCATTGTGTTACACCCTCCATCCCCTGGGCTCCATCAAGGGCCGTAACAGTTGGACATTAAAATTCACCTGCCCTGGATAAGGATTGATCCTTCAGACTCAGGATCTCCACTCAGATCTTTAACAGCCTGAGCTACTCCAACTCTCACCTCCATTGTGTTTCACAAAGCCTTTCACTCTCTCCTCTGGACAGCAGCCTTTAAAATTCACTGAGCCTTGATAAGGACCGAACCAGCGAACTCTGGATTTCCAACCAGTCCTCTTACAGCCTGAGTTGTGTAAAGAAAAAGTCAAAGCATAGTATGTCCTTTTTTTTAAATCATATTATAGTACGTCCTAAAAAAAAAGTTTAAAAAAATCACTGTGGTATATCCTAAAAAAAAGGTCAAAAGTATATGTCCTAGAAAAAATAGTGTTATGTCAAAAAAATGTCAAAAGTATGTCCTAGAAAAAGTTATAGTATAGTATGTCCTAAAAAGTGCAAAAAAAGTCGTATGTCCTAAAAGTCTAAAAATCACAGTATAGTATGCCCTAAAAAAAGTAAAAAAAAAGTCAGTATAGTATGTCCTAAAAAGGTCATAGTATAGTATGTCCTAAGAAAGTCTAAAAGTCACAGCATACTATGTCCTAAAAAAGTAAAATAAAGTCAGTGTGGTATGTCCTAAAAAATGTCAAAAAATAGTTTGTCCTAAAAGTTGAAGATTTTAAGCCCCTATTTTGGACAAAGGCACTCAAAAGTCACCTGTTAAATTGCATATCCATAATGAAATGAAAATATCTCTGCAACCACAAGGTCTATTTGAATACTTTTGGTGTCATGGTAAAGGGAACACTTGTGAGATTTGTTAAGATGTGTAAATATCAGTATATGTGTTATATGTGAAGAGTAAATGAAGATGGCACACAGCACAAATGAAATATTTTGAGGTTCGCCTAAAAAAAAAAGCATATCCCTTTGGAATGATGCAGCAGCTCTAGACCTATCAAATCATAGTACAATATGTGAACATTAACTCTGCAAAGGTTGACTCTGATAAAGTGAAGCAGAACAATATTATAGAGGTTTTAGTACAGAAAATTCAAGATGTTTGCATGTGATTTTTGTCATGTACAATCCTATATCTTTCATTTTTGTTTCTGTAAATCCCTACTGATGTTTAGGATATACAACTGTCCGTTTCATTTTTTTCCTCTTATTTCCCACTCCAAACTGACCAATACACACCTACTACATTTGAACCTGAGTTTCTATTCTGTGCTTTGGAGGCCTGCATCTCCACGACGGCTTGGCCGATTTGAGTGATTGACACCTCGTTTGATTCATTAGAGCAAATAGAATGACGCTATACCCACCAAAACGAGAATGACAGCACTGTAAGCCAATCAAAGTCAGCAGAACGCATTGTGGGGCGATGTCGGCTGCTGTGAGTGGTCATTGTTTTGGTTCCCCCGGAACAAGTTTTTCCGCCCAGACTCATTTGAATGACGCACCACATCCGGTAAAACGGGAACTTAGTGTGATTGTACAGCAGAATGCGCTTTTCACAGCAAAAATAACAAGGTAAGAGAGATACTACAAATACATTTTGGTGAAAACATTTCTGTTGTTGTTGTTCTTTGGCCTGTAGCTCTTTGATGGTGTGTGGTAGAGTGCTTTGGTGCATACGTGTGGAGATGAATAGCATGTGTTCTGAATAACGTGTGGTCGAGTTAGAGCCCGAAATATACCGAGTGGGTCGGAATATCGGTGCTGTATGGAGTTATTGGAGTTAGTTGTTGTTGTTTATTTAGTTGTTGTTTGAGCTGTGTTTGGGGCAGATAAAAAGGGTTTTTACAGCCGTGTAGCCGAGGTTCTGCTGTTAAATTTGATGTGCAACATCACTATATTCTTCGTGACTCTCGGGTTTAACAGGTGTCCTAGTAAGAGGAATTAATTGGAGACAGCTGTTCAGAAGACAGGCTCTCTGCTTTCAAGACATAGGCTTAAACTCTATTAACCTATCAACATCCCTGAGGGGGACATGAATACCAGTATTACATTTCATGGCAGTCCAAGCATCAGATGGAAATATACAGAGAAAAATCACACACTTCATTTGGACAAAGGCATTCAAAATTCACTTAGTGTCAACTAGTATTGAACCCACAACATCAGAATCTCCCAACAGTTCTCAAATACCATGAGCTATTGAATTAGACAGCTATTCTGTCTTTCCTCTGAGTGTTCAGAGGTGCCCAAAACACATTAGACTTTTGGACTGAACACTCTACAAGACAGTTTGTTATTTTCTTTCTAGATATGTCTGCCCCAAAAACAAGTCCTTCAACAACTTTCTTATAAACAACTACAAATGGGTTCAGTGTTTGGACTTGATCATGGAACTTAAGGAATTACAAAGATCTGTTCATCACACTGAGCTACCTTTCTGCTACACATCCTGTGATCAATCTCATCCAGACAAAAGTGTGTCTTCACCTATAATCTGGTTTGGACTAAATTAACATGTAAACAATAAAAAGACACATAAAAAAATACATTTTATTGCCAAGTCAGGAGCTGATAGTTGACTTTTGGAAGAAGCAAGGGCCTTAATGTCAACAGGGCCTCAGTGTAGAGGGTGGATAGCTTCAAGTCCCATGGTGTCTACGTTACTGGCAGCCTGACCTGGGGGTTGCATACTGTTCCACCTCAGACACTTGAAGAAACTCCAAATATCCCCTCCAACACTAAGGATCCAGAATCTGTACAATTATAGGAATAAAAGTCAGACATTTTGACCACTTGTATCACATTAAAAAAAGAGGGAGATCTTTTTGCTGACAATAGTTGTGGACTCTAAATTGCCTCTAGACACACACAAATCTTACAAAAGCTGGCTCTGAACAAAAAGCATGAATTAAGGAACCTTGGTCATCTTTGACTATGACCTGTGCTTTTGAACCCCAAGTGAGAAACATCACCAAAAAGGCATTTTTCCATCTTCGAAACATTGCCCGTGTGCGACCTCATTTATCTAAAGACGACACCGAAAAACTCATTCCTGCTTTTATCTCCAGCAGACTTGACTACTGTAACACCGTGTTCTCAGGGCTTTCAAAAAATATTTAAACAAACTTCAGATGATCCAAAATGCAGCAATATGTTCATGTTTCCATGAACATAACTGATGATCTCTGCTGTACATTACTGCAGGGCTAATTCATGATGCAACAACACATGTAACTATGCGTACAGACACACAGAGTAATACCTCTGAGGTCAAATTACAGCTTCCCACCCGACAGCATAACAAGCACAGATTAACATCTCAAAGTGTTCCTAATTAGCAGAGCTGGTGCCCCTCTGACTCTAAAGTAACACTTCCAAACCACCGAGGCACCAGGCCAATCTGAGGTGTTAAGAAAATAAACTGTAAGGATGTAAACAGGTCAAACAGCAACACTTAATGAACTCGGTCAAGCTCAGAAAAAGTCTCAAAAAAATTTGAAGCTTGGAGCAGATTTTTATTTTTTCATTTCTTGCAGTCTCCTGTTCTCCCGTCATGCCTTGGGGGGAAAATTAAACTTTAAAGGTCCTTTACCTGGTTTTAAACTTAAACCTTATGATTGAAAATTCTGCTTAGCCATTATTGGTTGAACATTAAACTGTCAAAACTGAGCTAGATAGGACAGGATGCGTCTCTAAAAAATGGACTGTGATTGTTAGTAAGTACAGAATTAAGATCCAGAACTAAATGTATAAAATACCTTGTATAGTGTATGAAAATCTACTACTGCATATCATAGCCCCATAGTTTGCATCAATACACACAAAATGTTGCACATTGCAGAGAAAAATCTGCTTTTTTTCTGAATTAAAAGGAAAATTATTATTGTTTTCCATCTGCCTGATTCCATGTGAACGCAGTAACAAGGTCATTATCTCAGAATTATGAGATAAATTTTCAAAGATTCTGCTATTATTTTTCTGAATGAAAGATAATCTTGGTAATTCAGAAAAACTAGGTGAACCTTTACATTCTTAAGTGAATGCATCATGCTTCTGTATAATTCTGAGTAGCTGGCAGATATTCTAGATATGATGACCCTCTCAATTGCAGATCTAGTCGTAGATGGTGGTCTGATTGTCCTCGGCCTTCAAAGAGATTTGGAGCTCAAGCTGCAGTAACTGCATATTGGAGAATGAAGTCAGAGGGCCAGCACGATCAGCACTGCCACTTTCTATGGGTTGAAGAGTTTGGATCCAACTGTGAGTTTTTTTAAAAAAAAAAAAAAGATATATGAAGGATTAAGACAAATAAGTAAGTGAAAGGCTTTACTGTCTTGAATACATTTTCAACAAAGTGTTGTGTCTGTAGCTAAGATTTGTGCTATGTTTGGTGGCTCTTAAGTGTGGCACCAAACACTGTTTATGAATGACTAATATTTAGAACTGCAAACTTATTGGCTCATTTGAACAATACAAAATCTGGTCATAAAGCGCTGTAGGGATGACGTTTTTTCGCAGGCCAACCTAGCATCGTCCTGGTCCACTCACCAAATAGCCTCTGGGATTTTATAAAATTAGCTCTGTGGAAAAAAAAGTTTTTGATAAAAACACGTTTGTTCAGCAAGATAATCTGCACAAATGAATATGACTTTATGATTTCTGAAGTGTAAATGCAATTGCCAGAAGTAACCAGCTTCACAGTTGTTTGCCTCCACAAACCGGTCAAGTTGCAGTTTACATCCATGTGTGTCCAAACTCATGTAGTCATGACAGCTGACAACGCCTCAAATGTGGATTTTGCTGCAAAGAAGCTTCAAACTCTACAACATGGATGCTTCACACACATCAGTTTCAAGGTGGACACCCAAGTTTAGTGTCACCAATTCAGTATCTGACCAAGCATCTCCTCTTCTGTCCCTGAGATACGGAGTAGAATAATGGTCAAAAAAGTGTTTTGCAGAACATTATGATGTCGCAGTGAAGTTGACCTTTGACCTTTTGGATTTAAAATGTCATCACTTCATTATTTTATCCTCATTTGTGTAAAGATTTGTGATAATTAGCGTATGAATTCTAGAACTATGGTCACAGGGACTTTGGCCCTTGACCACCAAAATCTAATCGTTCATTCGAGACCCATTGACTTCAAGACACCGGAACCAAGAGATCAAAAATGCTAATTCGTTTTTGAGTTTCAGGACTCATTTCTGCCTCTATTAAAGGTCCTGTGAAAGAATGTTCTGAAACTCTGCAAGCCGTCGGACTGGGTTTAAGGAGTCCTCCTGCATGATAAGTTAAAGAGCTCGACAGGAACATATACACCAGCTAAAAAGATCTTGTCCTGGTAACCCAAAAGTTACTGGTTAAACTTTATTAAGAATGTGAAAGTGACAACATCTCTTCCAGGTATTGGAAAAATGGGAGGGCAGTGTTGGAGGATAAATTAACAGTCTAGCAGACAATTTAATCATTTCTCTTGACCCCACCTCCTCCCTGATGGACAGCACAGAGGGCCCTCTGCTCTGCTTCCCCAACCTCAACTCCTCCTGCAGGCGTCTGCTGCGCCCTCGCTCTGACACTGCTCTGCTCTACATCCTGCTGGCCTTTGTCTCTCTGCTCACTGTAACTCTCAACGTGCTCGTCATCATCTCCATCTCCCACTTCCGGCAGCTCCACACCGCGACCAACACCCTGCTCCTGTCTCTGGCTGTGTCCGACCTGGTGGTGGGGCTGCTGGGGATGCCCATCGAGGGCCTGCGCTACATGGAGACATGCTGGCTGCTGGGGAGGCTGCTGTGTGCTCTGACTCCTTATGTTTCTTACTGCATNCATGTTTGCATAGTGTGGAGTAAAAGCAAAATATAAAATCTAATAATGCACACTGACAATTTTGGATATTTATCTGCCTTTTGTGATGTTGTATTCCATTTAGATTTGTCCATTCAATGCTTTTAGCTGCTTTTAAATAACCGTTTGAGCCTTTTGGTGCTTTGATTAGTGGCTACAGTGCATAAAATCTGATCAGCATTTTTTGTTTATACCTTTGCAATGGAAAAACATAGGCCTTCTTGGTGCTAACACATGCTATACAAACCCAAACCCAATACACACCTAAAGCTAAACACAAATGAACATGAGGTCAATGCAGTAATAAATATAGGCTTGTCCTATTGAGAGGGAAATCACAGACATTATTGCTAATATGAGAGATTTAGCAGGCGGTCATGATGATGTCAGATCTGGTCTGATTATCAAATTAGTCCCTTTATTCTCAGGCCATTGACCTGTGTACTTGCTTAATCTCTGGAAATTGGAACAGTACCAAGTGAGATTAAAATTGCTAAAATTCTACCTGTGTTTAAATCCGGAGATGGAATTTCATTTAACAACTTCTGTCCTGTTTCTGTCTTTGCTTGTTTTTCAAAGACTTTGGTGAAACTAGTTTACAATATAATTATAAAACATCCTGTATGGACAGCAGTATGGATTTAGGAAAACCTACTCTGCAGATATGGCTTTATTTTAACTGGTTGACAAAATTCACACTCCTTTAAATGGCAACAGATATGCTTTAGGAATAATTCTTGACATTTCCAAAGCTTTCAACACTTTTAATCATGATATCTAACTCCAGTAATTGTTATATTATTGCTTTATTGGACATATGTCTTTAAATTACAATCATAATCAACAACAGTTTGTTAACATTAATGGATAGACATCTGATGGGGCCAAAACAACAGGCGGAGTCCCACAGGGATCTATTACAGGACCTCAACTATTCCTTATTTATATCAAGGACCTAGCTGTAGCATCACCCTCCATGGTGACACTCCTCCCAGTACTTCTGCCGATAATACCAATTTATTTCTCTCACATACTAATTTCTCTGTACTTACTGCCAAAGCTGACTTTGATTTAGAAAGAATTTCTTGATTTCTGATTTCAAAAGCTGAATTTTATTTCAATATTCCCAAATTTAAAATCCTCTGGAATTTCTCAATTATGGGATCAATAAAGGTGTATCTAATCTTATCTTATCTTAATGTTTTAGAATTAAAAAAAAAAAATTCTTTGACTTGAATTTTTGGATCTGAATTTGACCTATGAAATTTGACCAGTGCTCTATTTACATATTTTTTAATTAGAATTTTGAGATTTGAATTTGATTATTTAATTTTAGCCTCAATCTAGTTGTTTTTTTTAAAAGGCAACTCAAAGCCGATTGACCAAGTCAACATCAAATGCGGCATATACCAAGGGGATGCACTGTCACCACTGCTGTTCTGCATAGGCTTGAATCCCCTCAGTCAATTCATCAAGAAGACTGGCTATGGATACCGATTACAAAGTGGAGTAACAATCAATCACTTGCTCTACATGGATGTCAGCAAGCTGTACGCCAAGAATGAGCGAGAAATCAACTCACAGATCCACACCAACAGGATCTACAGCAAGGACATAGGGATGTCATTCGGATTGGACAAGTGTCTAAGATGATCAGAATTGAAGGAGTTGACCTACCAGAGGGCAACATAAGAGATATCCAGGACAGCCACAAGTACCTTGGGATCCCGCAGGCTAATGGAAATCTTGAGGAGGCCACAAGAAGTCAACCACAATCAAATACCTCCAGAGAGTAAGGCGAGTCCTGAGAAGTCAGCTGAATGGTCAGAACAAGGTCAAAGCCATCAGCAGGTACGCAATGCCAGTCATCAGATACCCAGCTGGGATCATAAGCTGACCAAAGGAGGCGATGGAAGCCACAGATATCAAGACAAAAAAGCTCCTCACCATGCATGGATGGTTCCACCCCAAGTCCAGCACCCTGAGGCTATACACTAAGCAGAAAGAGGGAGGCCATGGACTAGTGAGTATCAGAGCCTCTATCCAGGATGAAACATCCAAAATCCAGGAATACATCAAGAAGATGGCCCAAAAGGATGAGCTGCTAAGTGAATGCCTCAGACAACAGAAACCTGATGAGAGCAAAGTAGTGGCGGAGCAAACAACATAGAGGAATAAGCCTCCACATAGACATACCACTGTCAGATAGCGGAAGTGGCTGATATCAAGAAGACCTACCAGTGGCTGGAGAATGCTGGACTGACAGACAGCACAGAGACACTAATCATCGCAGCACAAGAACAGGCCCTAAGCACAAGGGCCATAGAGGCCAGGGTCTACCACAGCAGATCAGACCCAAGGTGCAGGCTGTGCAAGGATGCCCCTGAGACAGTTCAGCACATAGTGGCGGGGTGTAAGATGTAGGCAGGATCAGCGTACATGGAGAGGCACAACCAAGTGGCTGAATAGTGTACAGGAACATCTGCACCCAATATGGACACGAAGTACCCAAATCACAATGGGACACACCACCAGCGGTGGTTGAGAACAACAGGGCTAAGATCCTGTGGGACTTCAGCTTCCAGACTGACAAACAGCTGCTGGCATAATGGTGGTTGACAAACACCGAAAGAGGTCAGTGGTGGTAGATGTGGCGATACCAGCCGACGGCAACATCGGATAGAAGGAACACGAAAACGTGGAGAAGTATCAAGGGTTGAAAGAACAGCTGGAGCAGATGTGGAAGGTCAAAGTTGACGTGGTCCCCGTGGCAGTAGGAGCACTCAGGGCAGTGACCCCCAAACTGGGAGAGTGGCTCCGGCAGATTCCAAGATGTGTGGACAGAAGTGTGCAGTCCTAGGAACAGCTAAGATACTGCGCAGAACCCTCAAACTCTCAGGCCTCTGAGAGAGGACCCAAGCTTGAGGATGACACAGACACCACCCTAAGAGGGCGATAGGGTGATAATATATGTTTTGTTTTTGTTTTTAAATTAAGCTTTTGAAATTGCAAATCAAGAAATTTCGAATTATAATTTCAGATAGCTGAATTTAGAACAAATTGTTTCAGATACATGGTTTCAAAAATAAAATATTTCAATGCTATGAATTCAGTGGTGTTTAAATTTCAATATTAAGTGGTTGTTAGAATTAAAATATTTCTGTATCTTGTTTGCTGCTACAGGTTCAGCTATGGAGCAGCTATATTCAAATTACAGTCTACTGTACCACACTCAGGAATTTGAAGTATAGCTTTAAGTGCTGTCTGATGAACCACACTATTTGAGCTGAATAAATCTTACTGTATCTATGTTTGTTTACTTTGTTCATTTTGATGATGTGACTTTTATATCTGCTTATAATGCTTATTGAGGTGAGATGACTTTTCTTAAATCACAGCTGCAAAACTCACGTCGTCTTTTGTTGTATTTCTGCTGCATTGTTTAATTGTGCAAATAAATAAATCAAATCTAAAATATCAAAAGTAAATGATGAATAAAGAACAAATTGCAGGGGGAAGGGGGAGAAGTGATGACAGTGAAGAGGGCAAGAGGTTGCATCATTCATCAGGTGTTCGGAACAGCTGGGAGGGCTGGTTTGAGAAGGATAAAACAACTGTCTGATGGGGAGTTCAATCTGTTCCCTCCCCCCTGATGGACAGCACAGAGGGCCCTCCGCTCTGCTTCCCCAACCTCAACTCCTCCTGCAGACGTCTGCTGCGCCCTCGCTCTGACACTGCTCTGCTCTACACCCTGCTGGCCTTCGTCTCTCTGCTCACTGTGACTCTCAACCTGCTCGTCATCATCTCCATCTCCCACTTCCGGCAGCTCCACACCCCGACCAACACCCTGCTCCTGTCTCTGGCTGTGTCCGACCTGGTGGTGGGGCTGCTGGGGATGCCCATCGAGGGCCTGCGCTACATGGAGACGTGCTGGCTGCTGGGGAGGCTGCTGTGTGCTCTAACTCCTTATGTTTCTTACTGCATGCTCTCTGCCTCTGTGGGCAACATGGTGCTCATATCCATAGACCGTTATCTGGCTATCTGTGACCCACTGCTCTATTCCTCTAAGATCACCCTGCACAGAGTTCAAATATCAATCTGTTTATGCTGGGCCTGCTCTCTTCTCTACAACGGGTGTATCCTAATGGGACACTTAGGGCAGCCAGACAGGTTCAGCTCCTGCCACGGGGAGTGTGTGGTGGTCATCAGCCACACCTCAGGAACTGTTGATCTCTTTTTTACATTTGTCGGGCCCTGTACTGTCATGGTTGTTCTCTATATGAGGGTGTTTGTGGTTGCCATCTCTCAGATGCGTGTCATTCGGCTGCAGACTGCTGCTACCGCTGGCACTGCAGCTCCAACAGCTAAAAAATCAGAGAGGAAGGCAGCCAGGACTCTTGGCATTGTGATAGCTGTGTTTCTATTGTGCTTCTGCCCGTATTACTATCCCGCTCTAGCAGGTGAAGACACCTCCACGAGCTTGTCATACTTTGCAGTGTTGTCTTGGATCATGTTGTTGAACTCCTGTGCAAACCCTCTGATTTATGCTCTGTTCTACCCCTGGTTTAGAAAAGCTATCAAACTCATCTTCACCCTCAGGATACTGCAGCCTCACTCCCAGGAGTTCAAGATCCTGTAGATTAAATCAGCAGTGCTTGGTCCCTTTTCAGTACAAATGAAACATGCTGTCTGTAACACCTGTGTATATGTGAGTGTGTGAGTGTGTGCTGTCTGGCCAGACTCACCGTGTATTCAGTATACCAGTGGCCTCAGCTGCAGAGTTTCTCGTTTCATCACACATACTGCAGAAAAACATTTCTGCACATAAAATGAATGAAAAATATTGAAACATAAAATAATGGTCAATAATACAAAGCATATTTTCATCATATAGGAACTTTGGCAAGATCTTAGTTTATCATCTCTGTAATTGGCAGTGTAAAAATATGCTGCCTGACAGTCACAAACCATGAATACATAATGTATGTATGATGAAGCTTTAATACTGTTTATATGTGACTCACTTATGCACGTGGAAATGCACAATTACTCACTGGATGTTGCACAGTGGTAATACTGTATAGGTTTACTGCCCAATGACAAGATGCACAAAGAAAACCACATGAATATATTATCAGAGCTTCACAAATAATGCTAATTGTGATACAGTATGTGATAAGTGTATACAATGCCATTAAGCAGAATGACTTTCTGAACTTCCTCATGACCTTAGTTGGGTTTACATCCAGCATCATGTCTTCTAGAGGATTTACAGTCTGTATGATTTATTGTTTATTAAAAAAAAACCTATCACTATTTTCTTTTTTCCTATGTTACTCTCTCATGTGTAGTTCCATTTTCACCAAAGCTGCACAACTTTTTAAGTGTTTAAAAGCACTTTGTAACTTAAGCACTGTATAAATGATGTCTATTATTATTTTCTATTTTCTATCAAATATTTAATGGCCTGTTTTTCTTTGAAGCTAAACATCAGTGTGCCTTATTAATTCTGGCATGATTTAATTCTTGTTGCATTAAAAATGCTGTCAAATAAAAAAGTGAAAATAAAAGCCTGCAATTTTCACTCTGTCATGCTCTGATTCTGTTTGCCATTTAAATTACTCCCATGCAAAAACTGGCACTCCAGTAACAACATTATTAGTAATCCATAGGCTTACCTGTAAAGCTGGGTTCCTCAGGTGTTGTAAATCACAATGAATGAGATAAATGCTTATTAAATTGTATTTGCAATGGAAAAATATAAGTACCCGCAAGTTTATTAAGAAAGCAGGGCTTTTGAATTTTTTTCTGAGGTTTATTTTAGTGCCAGGTTTATTTGGTGCAGTCTGGAGCTGCACAATTAATAGAAATATTAACAAAATCACATTATGGCCAAGTGCAATATCAAGCTGCATTTTTTTCAGTCATTTTCCAACTTATAAAACACAAATATCCTGGCTGATAGACACAAACATTAAGTTAATGCATTTTTTGGCATTATAGTAACAAAACAGGACCAAAAAGGTGTCGGCTGAAGCCTTAACTTATTATACCTACTATTTTAACATTCGTTGTTTTTCTGAGCTCCCTTTAAACTATACAGAAGAATAAGAAACTGACATAACTAAAGTATATGTAGCTACATTATATAGGCCTACTGTCTGCCCAAATACCCCGAACACATTTCATGTACACTTTGGGGTTCATCCTTGATATTTGTTAATCATATTGAGTTTAAATATTGTTTTAAATCTAATGTGTGTATTACACATTTTCATTTCTGTTTCATTTTTATTCTGAAAGGTAAAATTGGTCTCAACAGAGCATTATGAATGAGGCACTGTGGTGCTACAGAGACACCCTGGCATGAAAATAATATTCCCGACATAAGGTAATAATTATGCTTGCTTGATACAGGCCCCAGAAAAAAATCCATAATTAGAACTTTTATATTTTTTTCCAGTGAAAATATGATTCCAGTCAATGATTTTTATTTGCATATCATACAGCCCTAATAAGTCCCTTAAAACATATACTAGATTATTACTATGAGCATATTATAATAATGAAAAATAATCGTAAAGCCTGCCATGATACCATTAGGAGTCAAAGTTTCCCTGTTCAGTCACTGTTGTGTCACTAGCATAAATCTCAGTTTCAGTCAAAGCACACTGAGCTGCAGTGCCGCCATCCGGAGCAGCAGGGGGCGGTGTTGCACCATAACATTAATGGCTAATGCTATCTAAAGCAATGAGGACAGCATCTCTATCAAATGACGTGACTTTTAACCTTCAAATGTCTGTATAACTTTATATAACATTTAGCTACGTTTATATAAACATGTTGCGGACATTGTGTCGAGGCGGTGGGGCCGTTTTTAAGGTAAAGACACTGTTTATCAGGCGCTAACAGCCTGTCTGTGATAGGTTGGCTAACTAGCTTCTTGCTAACTTTAGCCCGGCAGTTACTAATTATTAGCCAGGTCATTCAGCTGGAAGCATCTGATGTTTAAGCTTATGTACATTTATATTAATAAGCACAGCGGTGTCTCCATGACATAAACAGACAATGTTACCTGTGGGAACAGAAGCTAGCTAGCAGTAGCTGTTGCTAAGGTGGCCATTCCTCCCTGGTTGTAATGCAGCATACTGTTAGTCCACAGGTGACCCCGTAATCAGCAGATGTGAACAGGTGTGACAGTGATTACAGGTGTTATTTAATTGGTCTGTTATAATACGCACATATCCTACGGATAAATAATGTATCTAAACCTTGTTTTATTTTTGCACTGCACTTCCACTGCTTAACTTCATCTATATATCATCTTTCAAAACACAGTTACAAAGTGCTGGACAATAAAGATAAACACATTTAAAACACGAGGAGAATGAAACAAACATGTCATGAAGTCACCAAAGTAAAAGATAAAAAGGCTAAAACTAAAATTAAGTCAGTCTTACAGCCTAAGGGATGAAGCTGTCCCAGAGCCTGGTGGTGTGGGACCATCTGTCAGATGACAGCAAGCTGGACAGTTTGTGGCTGGCTTGATCTGGGTCTCTGGTCATCCTTATGGCTTGTTTCTGCACTGCTGGGTGTAGAAGTCCTCTGTAGAGCCTTACAGCTGAGGGTAGTGCAAATGCCATACCAGGCAGTGATGCAGGCATTCAGGATAGTCTCGATGGTGCACCTGTAGAAGTTGCAGAGTATCCTGGAGTCCATGTTGAACCTCCTCAGCACGCCAGGGAAGAAGGGCTGCTGTGCCACTGCAACAGATTAACTGATTTGTGTCTCTCAATCTCCCAGCATGCTGTCCCCAGACTGTGCATGACGCTTACCCAGCAACGATGGGCCTCTCGCTTACCCATGAACACTGTGGTCCTGTTTGTGCCGCAGCAGGAGGCCTGGGTGGTCGAGAGGATGGGTCGCTTTCACCGCATGTTAGAGCCGGTACTTATTTTAGCTTCAATAATATCTATCTCTTTGTGACCACAAATCATCTAGGTGTATATTAATGAACACTTAGCACTTTTTTTGTCCTGTCTTATAGGGACTGAACTTCCTCATCCCCATACTTGATCAAATTCGTTATGTGCAAAGCCTTAAGGAGATTGTTATTGACATCCCTGAACAGTCAGCTGTGACCCTAGGTATGTTCTTTTCCATTGCACAAATTCCGTAAACAATACAGGATTCCTACAAAGTTTTCCACTCCAGAATTTCATAATTCCAAATCCAGACTGCAATTTCCAGACCATTTTTGACATCTGATGATAAAAACCAGTCCACGCACATTTGCATTCACCCACTGTGGCATTTCAGTCCTGGGCCGAAAGTCGGACGACATTCCACGTCTCTTTATCAATAAGAACCAAAAATATGTGGAAAAAGTTAAATAATTTATTTTTCACAGTGTCTGTGGAGCCTTGTTTTGTCACTGTGTGCATGGAAACGACAGTGAACGCAGCTATTAAGGTTTCCTTTCACAGAAAAAAAAGTCTTTTCTGATGACTACATCACTTCATAACTCACAAATGTTCATACAAGCTCAATATTTGGTTATTTGTGATGCTATGTATATATGCAATTCAAAGAGATTGCTGCAACTAATGTGGTCATAGGTGGTCTTCTTTGGTACAGTTAACGCTGTGACGTAAAGAGGTAGAGGAAGCTCTGCATTTAAGTGTGCGTTTAGATGCATGCTATACGTCATCAAGCTGGCTCTGGCCTGCACTCTCACACAGTGGTAAAAATCTTGGCTGTGCAAGCTGCCTGCTCCAAACACCATGAAACAGACTCTGCTTGTAAGATCAATTTATTTTTAGAAATTCTGATTTTTAGAAAACAAAAGGGGCAGTAGTCTGGAAACATAAATACTTTTCCATACTCTTTTATTTTACCATTTTTATCAAGACCTAAAAATTACTCCGATTAAATTCCATATTTTACCATACTGCATAGGAACCTGACAGTCGTGCTTATCGGTTTAATTAACCATCTTCACTGCCGAATGAACTGATGTGTTCTCTGTCTTTACACAGATAACGTGACTCTGCAAATTGATGGAGTCCTCTATTTGAAAATCTTAGATCCATATAAGGTATGCTGGTAAGAAGAAGGCACCCAAAAGTACTCTGACATAGGAACACTGGTTTGTGGCATTGAATGAGTTCTATGTTTTGCCAGCAGGTGGCGCCACTTAGTTGGCTTATCCATTAACTGATCCACACAGAGACTGACGAGTTGTGTGTCTCTCCAGGCTAGTTATGGTGTAGAGGATCCAGAATATGCTGTGACTCAGCTCGCACAAACCACAATGCGTTCAGAACTGGGCAAACTCACCCTGGATAAAGTATTCAGGGTAAGAAACAGCTGCACTGCTTTGGTGTGTGTTACACTGCAACAAAATGATGATGAAGGCATGTACCTTAAACCTGCTGTTGTCTCTCTGTTTTTTAAAGGAAAGGGAGTCTCTCAATTCCAACATCGTCCACTCCATCAACCAGGCGTCAGACGAGTGGGGGATCCGCTGCCTGCGATACGAAATCAAAGACATACAAGTTCCACCTCGTGTTAAAGAGTCAATGCAGATGCAGGTCAGACACACATAACGGCCAACTTTCTGTTTTATGCTGCATTTTGTAATATTCTTTACAGTACTATCTTGTTCTCAGGTAACCATAGTACAACCCTGATTCCAAAAACATTGGGATGCTCTTTAAAATACACATAAAAGCAGAATGCAATGATTTGCAAATCATAAAGTGGGGGTAATACGTATTCAAGACATCAGTCTTTCGATTTACCGGTCCATCTATGTCCCAACCCTCACCTATGGTCATGAGCTCTGGGTAGTGACCGAAAGAATAAGATCGAGGATACAAGCAGCCAAAATGAGTTTTCTCAGAAGGGTGATCAGGCTCAGTCTTAGAGATAGGGTAAGCTCAGGGAGCTCTGATCAGAACCACTGCTCCTTCGTGTCAAAAGGGTCAGTGGAGGTAGTTTGGGCATCTGATCAGGATGCCTCCTGGGTGCCTGCTGTTAGGGGTGTTCTGGGCATGTCCCAATGGTAGGAGGCCCCGGTGCAGACCCAGAACACGCTGGCCTGAGAATGCCTCAGGGGGAGAGGGACGTCTGGAATGCTTTACTCGGCCTGCAGCCCTCACAACCCAACTTCGGATAAATGGTTGAAAATGGATGGATGGCTTCACAGAGGTTTAGACCAGACATTGATATTAAAATAAAAAATAAAACTACAATAATAAATAAATCAGTCCATAAAAATGATGTGCAGTGAAGTGGAATGACAGGGAAAAAAGTATCGAACACGCCAACTGAAGTTTATCTAATACCTGGAGAAGCTTTTGTTTGCAATGCAGCTTGTGGGATTTTGGCCCACTCCTCCCCACAGACAGTCTTTAAATCTTGAAGAGTTTGGGGGGGCCTGCTTGTGAATCTTCAGGAAGAAATTTCACATTCAAAACTTCAGCAATCATTGTCCTCAGTTCCCAAACACTTACTGAGTGTTTTCAATGAAACTGGATGTAACACAGAGGGAAACATGCCCCTGTTATGACTTTTTTGGAAGGTGCTGCAGGCATCAAATTCAGAATGAGTGTATATATGTACAAAAAACAAAGTTTATCAGTTTGAACATTAAATGTCTTTAAGTTAGTCTTTATACTGTATTCAACTGAATATGTTTCAAGAAGGATTTGCAAATCATTTTTATTTATGTTTTACACGGTGTCCCAACTTCTTTGGAATCAGGGTTGTAGTATTGTAAACATCTGTGGTTTTATCGCTGATCGTGATGAAAAACACTCACAATAAACTGTTCCTGATCCATTATTGTGTTTAAAAGATATGATGTCATTTTAAATTGTTGAAAAGCCTGGCTTTGTAAGATTTTTTTTTGTGGTTTTTTACCAAAAAAAAGATGTGTGTTCTATCTGTGATGCCAGAAAAATGTTTGTTTCTTCACAAAATGGAAGGTTAAGTGATTCCAGTATGTTTTAGTGCCATTTTAAATATATAATACAAAACTTTTCTGCATTAAAATGTCTTCAAACAGTTAGACCACTTACATTACCCTTAACGTTTCTAACAAACCCCCCAAAAATCTGTAACTTTAATCAACGACACAATCCGTGATGTTTCGTCGCCGTCGCCCGTCAGTGGTTGTCTGCCAGAAGCTGTCGTAAATTGACTTATCATTCTGTTTTAAGCCACGTTTTTATAATACACTTTTTAGATCTTGGTTGTCCTTAACTATGTTAACCGGAGGACAGATTTAAGTCATTGAACAGAGAAACAAGTTGAGCGAACGTTAGAGGCAGCTCAGCTCCAGACCCTGCCTTGCCGAACAGCATTGAAGAAACACTTATTTTTAACATGAAACCACTGTATTCAGTGTTTTTACCGTTTTAAATCACCTGATCTGCTGGTTTTGGAGAGGAAGAGACTTCTGCAGTTAATTCGGCTCCTGGTAAAAACCTCCTAATTGATGAACACTGGGAGAAACTGACTGCAACGATAGCATTGCTCTGTTTTTTTATTGTTCTGATTGAGACAATCCTTACAGCAGAAAATTTCATATTGTACATTCAAGAGTTTTAATCATATTTTGATGATTTTAGGGATAATATCATGAATCATAATTATTTTGGCTAGGAAAATTGTGACATGAAATTTCCATATGGTCCCATGCCTAGTATGTATGAATATAAACAGTGAGACAATCAGAGACTGTGACTACACATCAGAGCTATGAAAATTGTTTCACCCACACTGGGTGATTTTCGGATTATTTTGTTTCCCTGGAGGAGAAATATTTGACATCCTTCTTTGCACATTGTTTCCTGTGTAGGTGGAGGCTGAGCGCAGGAAGAGAGCCACAGTGCTGGAGTCTGAGGGGACGCGGGAAGCAGGCATCAACATCGCAGAGGGTCGCAAGCAAGCCCTCATCCTGGCCTCAGAGGGAGAGAAGACTGAGCAGATAAACAGAGCAGCCGGTTTGTGCATTTTACTTTTGATTTAAAGAAAAGCAACTGTTTAACTGGGATTTTCCATTGACTCACTGACATGCATGAACCATGTGATCACGTATGTAATTGAAGGTCTTGTTAACGTAGGACTTAGGCCGTCATTACACTAAATCCACAAAGCATTTAATTACGTGCCTGCAGACTGCGTTACAACACAACACAAGGACTCAGACTTTAAACCAGTCAAACATGCAAACAGGTTGGAGCACAAGAGAATCTAATGGAATGTTAAAAAAGGAGAGTTAAAGCCAACAATATTCTGTAAATCCAAAACATACTGTGTGTCTCCAGGTGAGGCCCAGGCTGTGTTAGCCAGAGCAGAAGCTAAATCCAAGGCGATTCGTCTGCTGTCAGCGGCTCTGGCTGAACAGGTATGAAGTACATTCGACAGATTCATTTGTTATTAAAGGATTAGAAATGATCCAGAGTTATTTGGAGACGTTATTCCCAGCATCTTTCAGTAACCGTCATTTTGGTTTCACTCCTGACAGAACGGAAATGCTGCAGCCTCACTTAGTCTTGCTGAACAGTACGTCTCCGCTTTCTCCAAACTCGCCAAAGAGTCCAACACTGTGCTGCTGCCCTCCAACACTGGGGATGTTAGTGGAATGGTCACACAGGTATACTGGTTTCTGCCCACTAATAAGCTTTGGAATTTACTCTGAAAATGAATTTGTCCTCAAAATATATTATAAATCTTGGATTAGGGTCATTGTTTGGTATGATTTCGTCATTAAATATTACTTATTTGAACGGATTTATTGAAGTGTGGGGTGTGTGTTACCTACAGTAGGTGGTGGTGGTCGGTGTGCCCTCAGTTTGGAGAAGCAGGCTGGAGTACCACCACAGAAGCTAGGCAATGTACTGATGTGGATGGGGGCAGCAGCAAAATGTATTTTAGTCACCTAACCCCTCATCTTTAGTGATGGAAATATGACACCCAGGTGGACGCTCTAATTTTAGCTCCTTTCCTGGCACAATGCAATATCACACCGCCACTAAATACCATCCGTCTCCGTCCGACAACACCCAAAATTTAGTCAGTACCGAGTTTGAAAGAGAGACTGAATAAGTAACACTGAAGCCGTACATGGCTCTGGACCGGATGGATTGGAAATGGGAAGCAGTCTGTTACCTATTTTTAACAGTTGCTCCGATGTTGAAAAAACCTGCGTACATGCACTAATTTGGATGGAGAAAGGGTGTAACTGATCGAGGCAGCTGTAGACCAGCAGCTCCTGTGTTCTGCATTGAAAATGGCTGTCCGCAGCAGTGCATTGCTTCGCTTCTGTGTCAGTACTCCTGCCTGCTTCTCCAAACTCAGGGTCCGTTAACCGCCATCTACTGTATATAATGCACTGAGTATGGATAGGTACATCATACAACTCCACTTTAAAAATCCGAACTATCCATTTAACTATTGCTGTATGGCGATAACACTTAACATCCTGCTCTCCTGCCCTCAGGCCATGACTATTTACAGCACGCTGGTGAAACCAGGGCTAAAAGTTGAGAGCACGAAGACCAGCACAGACGAACCCAGTGAAGAGCCTCCGGTTCAGTCAGCATCAGCTCAGTAGCAGCAGAGGATGCCATTACTGCTGAAAAAAAGAGGAAGAGGTTTTCCACAATTATGGAGCACAATGGCGCTGCTGTGTGGACTCCCTCAGTGTCTGGTGCAAAGGGCACTCTATCTACTGCAGGGCACAGGATGTCGTGACAGAGGAACGGCGCTGGATAAACAGACGAAGGCGAGCAAGGACGGCAGGGGGAAGAGAGAAACTGAGCCACAGATGTAGATGTAACATTTCAGGCCATTTGTCACCCAGTCTGTTCAGCTTAAATATAATTTTATATATTTTTATGTTTTTTTTTAAATTTTTGACATTAAAGCCAACCCATTAGAAATACAGTAATGATTGTTGATGTGGTTCAAAACCTCAAAGCACTTTAAAAGCCTCTAGTTTTAGGAAGATAATAATTTATTAAAGATAATTTATTTGGGTGTTGGTGTTGGGCTAATGACTGGAAAAGGAAATGAAAAAATAAAAATAAAAAAATAAAACTGTTTCAGAGAGCAATGACAAATTGTGTTATTAATATTACAACAGTATGGTTTCCCATATAATTTTGTATTTTGCAAATTTTTTATTTCATTTTTTTTTTTAGATTTCAATTGAGTTTCAGTTAGTTTCCAGAGTTTGTTTGCTTGTTTCAGTTTAGTTTTTATTGATTAAAATTGTTAAAATTTTTGTTTAGTTTTTATTAGTTTCAGTATTGGTTTTAGTTTTTCAATTATAATTTTAGGGGTATTTCTTATGGGAAAGATTTAAGAAGTTAAAAACAGGTATTTAAAAAACATTACATTTTAGTTTCGTTTTAGTTAACTTTAAGCTTGATTTGTACATCTCAGATCTACATGGCACCCTGGAGCTCAGAGCAGTTCTCACTTTCCAGGTGAGATGTTAGGGTATAAGATGATTTGGTGTTGCTACTCAGGGACAGTTCACAAGTTTCTCGTTGTCAAAATGCACTACTAACCTTATGACGAGCGCAAATGTATAATTTCCCGTTCTTAAGTCTAATGATTTAACACAAACTTTGTATCACTGTGAAAAAGGAAGTGTCAATCTACTCATAGACAAGAGGCTCGTGCTTGTGACAGCATGAGTTGTAAACATTAATGGCTTCCTTCTTGGTTGAGCTGTAATGTTAGCTAGCTCAGTGGTGCGAGGTGAGCTAGCAGTAGATGCACTCTTCCTTCTGCACAATGATATGGGTGGTGGATGTAGTTCGGTAGAAAGAAAATAGTTCCTACATGAAACTGCTCACAACAAGGTCTGTGGATTATCTTGAGTAACCAGGTCATGATTTCTGCAAAGGGACATTGCTGTTGAGTTTTTCAAATGTATTTTTTTGGCACTTTGAGCACACAAGCCGAGTGCCATCTGTTCAAGAGAAGGCAGACACCTCTACGGCTGATATCTCCAACACTCTGCAACTCACACTAAAAATATCTCGACTGACAAACAGCACTACAGGTAAGAGGAGAAATATGTGCTTTTGATTTTGGGGATGAACTGTCTCTTTAAATTCTCCCCTTTACCCCCTAAGGAAACAGTTAATCCTTTCCTCTTAGACAAATGCCTTCTCATATATACTCAGAGTTCATTTTCAAGCGGCAGGTGATTTATTTTCTCTTCTTAAACATGAAAATGAAATGTCAAAAATATCAGAGAGCTTCTTGGTTTCCTTAAACATCCATAGAACAGGATCAATCCTGGCATTACCATCTGATAAGCTTCCCTCTCTATCATCTGTAATGCTACGCTCTGAGCTCACATGATGAAATGGAGAAAGCAATGACTGGAATGTGGAATACGGTTGCACGGATTTCAACACATAAAGCGTACTGCAAGCAGACACTTGCCACCGTGTGTGTGTGTGTGTGTGTGTGTGTGTGTGTATGTGTGTGTATGTGCGGGGGTGTGCGTCTTTAATCCTTGAAAAGGCTGGTGGTGACTGGTCGCAAAAATCGGATGTTTTCTCATTCCCAGACACACCTCTTTCTCCTTCCTCGTCGTCGTCGGCCTCCTGTCTGCTCTACTACTTCTTCCTTTCCCGTCAGTCTGTGTGTCCATCTTCCCCATAATTTATATGACAGTTGTCTGTAACTGCTTTGCCCTGAGAGAGTGGGGAAAAAAGATATAATTTAGACAAAGCTCCTGCTGCTATTTACCTTTTCTTGCCCTCCCCTTTTCATCCTCATCCTTCATGACACACAGACACACAGCCCACAGCCTTAGGGCAGTAGAGTTAAGGAGGTATTTAAAGTTTGTCATTTTTAGGACCTTGAACGGCAAACTAGAAGGAGAAAGAACAAGAAAAGAGGTGAGAGGGGGAGGGAGGGAGACAGTGTGAAGGAGCAAAGGCAGGAAAGGTGTTTGGAGCTGCAGGTGTGGGGCCAATTTCGGGGTTTTATTTCTCACACACAGACCAGTCTCGACGTTGGTGCTTGCTGAGCTGAGGAGAAACTCGCAGGAGCTGGCGACAGCTGACATGAAGCAGAAACAGCAGAGAGGGAGAGACAGCGAAGGTATTAGCAGCTCATAAAAAGGCACTTAGAGCTGCAGTTAAGCAACTCACACATTCATCACCAGTGGCTGCTACTGAACACACACATTTTTTAAGTCTCGGCGGCAGCTGCTGCCATTATGAGGAATTACAAAGGCGGAAAGACGTCAAGATAACAAATCTGTGATAAAGGGTGAAGTGATAAGGAGCATGTGAGTGTAATTTGATTTTATAACCTCTGTTTGCCTTGAATGAATGTCTTTCTGAGAAGTTATAAGGAGCAGAAATAACCTCTCCAGTGAATTTAGATCACATAAAAGGAGGATGATGGCATGTGTTAAAAGGAAGCGTGTCAGTGCCACGGCGCTGCCTGCTTCTGCAGACACTATGTAGCCTGCAATTTCTGGGGAAAAAAAAAGAAGTGTGCCAGTATAATCAGCTATAACGCACGAATCTCTCAAATCCTTCACCCCGCCCACAAGATACAATCCTTCCATTCTTGTATTTTTTCTCATTCACTCCACCAGGACGTCTGTGAGCAGGACACACTCTGTTTGGACAGGAACTTAATACCAAAAGCTGGACACTTTTTAAAACCTTTTTCTCATTTGGAAACAGGATTTGGAATAAGCTCTCCCCTCGTTTTTTCTCTCTGTCTCCCTTTGATGCTTTTCCAAGGATCAGGCAGCCTGACAGAAAAAGTTGTGACAGATTTAGAAAGCTGCAAAAAAAAAGTCCAGAGAGAGACAGACAGAGCTTTGCCCTGGAGGTTCATGAGGAAGAAACGGGAGACAGATAAAGAGGCAGGGATAATCTGAGAGAGGGAGGGAAGAGCACAGCTGTTGTGTGAAGGGAAAATATAGATAAAGAAAGCGCGGAGGTGCAAAAGTGTGACGAGGACGACCAAGGCTGGAAAGACGGAGGGAGAGTCAGCGGATAAAAGAGTCAGATTGTGGAATAATTCAAGTTGAAGGTCAAGAAAAACTGAGGAGATAAAGGGCAAACAGACACCTGACATCAACAGAATGGAGACGCAGCAAGACAAGAGGGAAGACTTCCTCTGATGTGAAAGAAAAGGATAAAGGAGCTGTGTTCGACAGGCCGAAGAAAAGATCTCCTCATCATGTTTTATTCAGCTGGTTTCCCAAATTCAAACAACCTGCGCCGGAAGAGCAACTTCGTCCCAGGATAGAATGAAACGCGGAGCAAAGAGATACCTGCCGAGTCTGTGATACCCTCCTGCTCCTCCTTTTCCTCCTCTCCTCCTTCCTTCCTTTCACTTTACACCCAGTTTTAAATCAACTTCCTCCTCCTCTGCCCTGATATCTCCTCTCCTCCTCTCTCCTCTCTCCTCTCCCCTCTCCATCTCCTCACTATGTGGATACCAGCTTTGCTCCTATGGATTCTTAATATCAGCAGTTTGTGCTCAGGACAAGACTATACGGACTATTACCAACCTGGAGACATGGGCACTGAGGTGAGACATCTAATATATCAGCCATCTATAAAAACTCATTTGTTTCGCCAAATTCTACAGCTTGTAAATGTCTACAACAGAAAAATAACAGATGCAGACGCTGCTATACATAAAATCATTTGAATCACACACTATGGCCTTCACAGTCACCACATCAAGATTCTGGAGCAGCATGTTACACAGTACACTCTCCACCATCATTCAAACACCAGATGAGACAATACCTATTACATTAAGCTCTGTTTATTCAGGAAGTCTCATTAAGATTAAGAGCTCTTTTACAAGAGAGACCTGACAAACAAAGCCTGTGTATAAAACATCACAACAAGACAGTTCAGTCACACAGTAATCCATCTCGTGATTTAATGGTAGTGACACCAGCATGAGCAGACAGGATATCTATAATCCAGTACACAGAGGATTGTATGTTGTTTTTTCTAATTTGTTCTGGTACAAGAATCCAATTTGGACCTTTTGAACGAGGTGTGGAACAAGATTTTTAAATTTTTGTGTGAATATGCAGTAGCATGTATTTTGTCACACTCAAGGAGCTGTAATTTAGTATGTCACTTCCTGAAAGCCTCCATGCCAGTTGGAGACATGTAACCATGGTAACCCGTGCCAACCTCAGCTCTGCAAGCGATTTAAAATTAATCTTTAAAATATATTACCAAGGTGAAATCCTACACTGTGTTTCCACAAGGAGCGAAACATCAACAGGCTACAATTAATTTTCAACGGACGCTAGTGACATGAAGCTACAAACTGACACCTGACACCTGACATTGCCCACAGATGTGATGCGCTACAAACACGGTGAATTGTCGACCAATCATATGTTTTTGTCTCTAGCTGTGGTGCTTCACCTACCCAAGTGAAATCTGATGCTGTGTTTGCACTAGGAGGGAATCAGCAACAGGCTACAAGTCATTTCCAATGGAAGCTAGTGACATGAAGCTACAAACTGACACTTGATGTTGCCGACGGGTCTGACACGCTCAGTTACAGTGAATTATCAAACAATCATTTATTTTTGTCTCTAGCTGTGGTGCTGGTCTACTGAGCTGAGTTAGCTGATGTTATGCTAGCTTTCTGTGCAGTGCTTTGCAGGTGGAGATGACAGGGCTGTGAAATGTGATGTCAAAATTGGGCTCAGACATCGAACAAAAGCATAGATCTTTTTAAAACCTTATACAGACATGAGATGACGTTCAGTCGAGGTGCTTTGTGGCAAGTAGCAGATACACACAAGCATGTGACAATGTAACTATCTTAACGACTATTTTAGCAACATCTAAACACCTACTCTGTGATAATGCAACTGGTCATGCTGTTTCACTGTTACTCATAGTGTAAACATAGCATTAAACTGGGGCATTACAAAGCTGTCGTGGTCAGTGTCAATTGTCTGTTATGAATTTAGTCGCCTAATGTTTGCATACTGTAATATTCCACTGGAAATACTATGCTAGCTACATACTGTTGGTTTCATACTAAGGTTTCAGACTTACTAAAAAATCTCAAATAGTGTTTTAGCATGCTATATAGCATGTTAGTAAAGAATTTCAAACACAGGCTTAGTCTTTTTGGTGTTTAGAACAAGCTTTGAATTGATTACAAAATGATGTAAAGACGTTTAAAAGCAGCCTGTAATCTGTTTTGCGGTAGAGCTGATGGCATACAAGGTGGTATCATCAGCATAAAAACGGACATTGAAATGTAGCTTTAAAAAAAGATCCTTGTGTAATCACTGTGAATGGACATCTGCATATGAAGGCAGAATCTGTTGGTAACGGGACAAGATTTTGGTATCCGAAGCATTCTAGTTTCCATTTGTATTATGGAGTGTTGACCAATCATGTTTTAGCAGCAGATGAAGAGTTCACGTGCAGAGCAAATGAGGTGGAATGCATTGGCTGAAATGAAATCTCGGAACCCATCAGCTATTGTCTGACAACAATTTAGCTTTATATAAGCTTGTTTTTTTATTCATCTGCATTCATATGCAGATATCAGTTTATAGAGAGATCTAGCTGAAAATGATCAGCACACGGAACAATGTCTTGGCCTGGGAATCAGCTGGCTACACCACAACCCCAAAATATTGGCTGATGCTACCAGAGGCTTATCATGGTTTGACCAAGCCCCAAGGATGTGTTCTGGACTATGGAGCCATTGTGACATAACGACTAAAGCGTGCAATTACAATTTCCAGGTCCATCACGTGATGCCATTGGGCCAAAAAGACTTACAATAGGAGTGTCTGTAGATCAGTGGGAAAAAAATTTGAGCATCACAGCCCCTGCAAAACGACTTGTTTGACTATCAAGATCTAATACATTTGGTCTGATAGTATTTTGAAAGTCTGGAAGAGCTGCAGGATTAAATCATTTTATCCCAATTCAGTTTAGCTAAAGGCTAAACTGGAAGTTAGCTACTCAATTGGCGAAGTCTCTAGCGTACTTGCTCTATGGGCCCAACAATGTAGAAGACTCAGAGAGTTGAATTTATTTTGGCTTTATGCGCCGCTAAGCACCTTTCATAGGAACACTGTATCCAGTTCTCTTTATAAATGCATGTGTCAGACTAATCGCTAATGGGCTCCGAGACTATCCTTGTGGAACACTTTAAATCAACCATGTGGAAACTGATATTAAACTACTGGCCACAGCAGTCCCCACCAGACAGATATGATTTAAACCAGGTGTAAGAATAATTCAAACCAATGCAGAGCAGCTCATTTAGCAAAACATAATGATCAACAGTATCAAGAGCCTCAGATGGATCTATGAGGCCTGCAGCACACTGTTGTTTTTTACCAAGAGAGTTAATAATGTCATGCACAACACCAGCTGCAGCAATGATTCTACTATGAGCCGGTCTAAAGCCTTACTGCTGTGGCGGAGTGATAATATTTTCATTCAGAGAGGCATGCAGTGTGATACTAAGAGTTCAGACAGACAGGACAGCTTAGATAAGGTCACAAGTGTAACCATCTCTGTGTAATGGGTTCATCCTATCATCTCTTGCACGATTTGTGTTGGGTTTTTTTCTTTAAATTTACATTAAAATTTTAATAAAATTACCTGGTAAAACACTCCCAGTAGTAGTAATTATCCAAAGGCTGAAATGCAATCAATTAAAGGGAGTTTTTCATTTCAGCCCCAGCTCCTAAAATCAGTTCCTTACATGAAATTATGACACAGATTTTGTTACATAATGCCAGCTCCATGTGTAAAGCTTGTTTCTGTGACGTCGTTCCAAGCATTGCCAGGATAAACATCTTTTGGTTTCAGCTGTCTTTACTGTAAATGCCGTTTACGATCCAACCAGGAAACTCTGAGGTTCTTCTGTGGAAGTGTCTCTGAGGTTGAGCTGACAGCTTCCTTCTTGTTAAAAACGTTGTTGATAGCAGTGAGTCATGATACTCTGCCTGTTATAATGATAATATAGTTTACTACAAAGGAATAAATCTCAATTCACTTGAACGCGATCCTCTTGGAACTGAATGAATGAATGAATGACATACTCTGATGGGATAAGCCAGTCATCACATGTAAAACAGATTAAATAAAATAGTGTGTTTGTCCATTAGCTTCAGACATAACATGTTTAAACTGATGGAAAGAGTTAGGGGTTAAAGCATGGGTGTGTGCATGTGCGTGTGTCTGTGTGCCAGCAGTATCTAATGCTGGAGCCTAGAGCACTGGTCATTGGTCCGTCATGACCTCATGGTCCCACAGCGATGACCTCATGTCATGTGATCACTTAACAACTCAGTGGAGAGTGAGAGGAAGAGCAAAAGACCATGACAGAAAGAAGAGCAGTCAGTTCTCTAAGTCATAGTTACAACTGTCCATCAACATTATCTAGAGATTGTGTCTCTGCACTGCCAACAGTCATGTCTGACAGTCTTATGGAGGCTCCAGTAGTGAAGTGGCTGAGCTCAAATATTAAAATCTGTCCAATAATAGTTACATGTATAAATCCGCAATTGTAGCCTCTGCTTTAATCTAAAAGTAATTTAGGACATTTCCATCAGCCTCAGCAGCAAATGTCAGCATGCTGAAATGCTAAATGGAGACAGTGAACATGTTAAACATTACACCTGCTAAACATCAGCATGACTGTCACTGAACATGCTGATGTTAGCTTTTAGCTTAAAGCACTGCTTCACAGCCTCACAGAGCATGGCTGTTAGAGGTGGGACCAAGTTACTGTTTTGCAAGTCACAAGTAAGTCTCAAGTCTTTGCACTTCAGTCACATCCCAAGTCTTAAGCTTTGAGTTTTGAGTCCAAAATAAGTCTATGCACTTAAAACCAAATGTAATGCCATTTTAACAACAATGTAAAAATATATTAAACTAAAACAAATTAGGAATCCTTTTCAAAATTTATATTTTTTAAACAGGTCCAAGTGAACTTAAATGAAGGGAAATAAATTAATTCATGGCACACGTTTTAAATGAAATACATTTAATCTTCAGGCTTGGGGGAAGATATTAAGTATTTTTATGTTAAAACACTCAAATAAAAGTGGAGTCACAAGTCTGCAGGTGCATTTCCATCCAACTCTTTTTAAGCACATATAAATTTAGACATCAACTGATTGCCAACACTGAGAAATAAAAAAAAAAAAAAAAAAAAAAGAGTGATAAGGCACGTTATAGAAGCTACCGTAATTCTCACAGATATAAATACAGGTGTGCCTTGAGATTTTGGCTTGCCGCTTGGTGTGCCTTGGGCACGAACAGTTTGAAAACCACTGATATAGGCCAGTGCAAGCTCTCTTAATCTTTTCTCGATGGCTCTGAACATGCTTGTGCACACAGGGCTCTTACCAAAACTCAACTAGTATTAGTCATTCAAACTCTTTATTTCCATTGTCCGGTGTGCTCTCTGTTATTATACATCCATTGCTGCTCTTATCGATGAATCAACTCCCCAATATTCACATAACAGTATTGGATGGAAAAGAGCAAAAATTCATGTTTTCTTTCGCCAATGTTCTGAAAGTTCAGTTAAAATTTGCACTACATTTGGATGGAAAACCAACTTTTGGTGCTGAAGTCCACGTTGACTTGCAAGTCTTTTCAAATTTTGTCAAGTTGAGCCCAAAGTCATCAAATTTGTGACTTGAGGCTGACTCAAGTCCAAGTCACGTGACTCTATTCCACACACCTCTAACAGCTACTGCTTCTCAGTCTCTCAGTATTCTATATGATCTTGTTTCAATACAATTCTTGTTTTGGAAGCATTTTAAGAGTAGATAGCTAATTTCATATTCGATGCCACAGGTCACACATATGTCGAGACACAGGCCTCTGAGATGGCTAGAAAGACACATGAAAGGAGGGAGAGGCAGACAGAAAGAAAGAGATAAATGGAAAGATAACAACAGAGATCTGGTTTCTGTTCGGTAACGCCAGCCGCACCAGCCTGCTCCTTCTCAGCCTGAGAAACTAAACAACCACACTCGCTCCCCAGAGGAAGAATTAATATGTGACACTCAAACACCCAACTCCAAGCTGACATTCAGTCCCCACAGATGACATAGCAGCCACTCTGATACACAATTAACCTTTTATCTTTTCTCTGTGTCTCTACAGAGTGGAGCAGAGTCATCTATCATGACGGCAGAAAAATCATTATGGGGATGACTCACAGCGGGAATGGTTTACAGAGCTACTGTAAACTGAGATTTCCTGCATAGACCTGGTCCACCACATAAAGCTCTCTCTGTACAATAATAATGATAATAATAATAATAATAATAATAATGAGGGTGTTGGCTGAGCTGTTTGGTTTGTTTATGCAGGCCTAATGCTGCATTTAAGGACTCCTCAGAAGCTCTTACGTTTGAGCCTCGAAGGTGGTGGTTTAACTTGTAATGGAGGGCACATTAAGGAAGGGTACCAGGAAAACCCAAAAATTGATAAAGCAACCAAAAGAACTTACAGTCCTCTTCAGTTACTGAACCCCATTTTAAACTGGGTCAGACTACAGCGTCTTGCTCAAGAGCGTTGCAGCAGTCGAGCAGGTATCCTCCAATTTTATCCCATTGCCTTAAAGTGAACCACAAAAAAGAGCAAGAACAGCAATACTAACGCACAAAGAAAACGCAGAGTTTGCAGCTTCTTTTTGGTGCTCAAAGGCAAGGATGTGTGTGTAGGTGAGGAGAGGACACATAATAACAGTAGCCAACAGCAACATGTTACAACACATTGGTAGCTGAGGTATTCACTGTTTATCCAACTCAAACCAGCAAAGCTGACACAGTAAATTCTACAATATGTAATAGTTTTCCTTAACACTCGCAACAAATGACTCGATTCTAACATTTTAAAATATACAAAGTGAAGCATTTTTAATGTTTATTATATTCAATGGGACATGGGCCTCAATTTTGTGACATAAGAGCCAAATGCCTTTTTTTGCCTGGTTTTATTGTCTCCTTAAAGAAACAATTCAGTTTTTTGGAAGTGGGGTTGTATGAGGTACTTACCCATAGTCAGTGTATTACCTACAGTAGATGGTGGTTGGTACGCCCACAGTTTGGAGAAGCAGGCAGGGGTAAAGGCACAGAAGCCAAGCAATGTACTGCTGTGAATGGGGGCCGCAGCAAAACGTATTTTAGCCACCTAAAACAATCATCAGACAGCATTTTCCAACAGGGAACTGAAGCTGTTATCTCACTCTCTTCAAAGCCAGACTCCATTGAGAAAAACAGTGACTTAACATCGCTGAAAACAGGAGCTGCTGGACTACCGCCGCTTCGATCAGTTAGTTTGTTGTTGTTGTTGTGTGATTATGGCATATGAAGTGGTTAGTTCAGATTCACCAAAGTCACATAATAACAAAACGAACTCACAGATCGAGGCAGTGGTAGACCAACAACTTCTGTGTTCAGCAAGGTAAAATTACTGTTTTTGTAAATGGAGTCTGGTGAAACCATTAACGGCTTCCCTGTCGTAAAGGGCTGTCTGACGGAAAGGCAGAAAGGTAAAGTGGTGAACATACTCTAAATATAGCATACACTTTATCTATTATAGATGGTTTAACCCTTGTTTCCCCCCTCTTAGCGATGTTGTTGACAAATAAGAAGCTTTCTGGCAACTCACGAAGAACTCAAACTGAGGATATACTGTGTTATTAAAGCCACATTGATCTGTTACGACACTTTCTTATCTTCCAGGCTCCTGTGTTGTCAGATGACCAGCCCAGTTTGGAGTCAGTGACGAGTGTGGATCAGCTGTTACAGCTTCTGTACCCCGAATACAATTTGCTTCAGCACTGCCTGAGGAGGAAAACATGGCAAGCCTCCTCTGCCCCCTCTTTTTCCACCTCCTCAGCAAGCCCTTTGGTCCACTCTGACGATGAGGATCTGTGGGGTCAGCCAAGGGAGGAGGCGCTTTTCAAAGTGGACGGGACTCTGGGAGGTAAACGCTTAGATACGTACTACAAAATACAGGCCAGTAAATTAGTTGTGATTGCCTGAAAAATTAAGACTTTTTAATGATCTCTTTATCGGGTCAGTCTTCAACACTTGTTAGAAAGCTAGACAGATTTAATTGCACCGGAGACAGACAAAAGTAGGTGGTACACGTTGGAAAGAAGACTGGAAAATGAAAATCAGACACATTATTAGTTGATGATTTCCTGCCGTCACCTCAGAACCCCTAATAACAGATACATTAAGACCTCAAAGCTCTCTTGTATTCAGATTCAGTTACTCAATCACATGTGTTTTCAGTCATCTTAGAGGAGATCCAGCGGACCTCATGCCAGCCCAGAGAGGTGTGTGTTGAGGTCGCCAAGGAATACCCAGAATCCACCAGTCAATTCTACCTCCCTCGCTGTGTGGCGCTGCATCGGTGCGGCGGCTGCTGCACCAACGAGGCCTTTTACTGCACCAACACAAGTCACGCGCTTGTCAACAAGACAGTAAGTGGTGCAGCTTTCCTGTCTCTGAGCTGTTTATTTGAATGTCAGACACTTTTTAGCACTCTAATTATTTAACACTCACTCACATTACAAGATCGTGTTGGTATTTTGTGTTCTCACACCTCAAACCGCTTCAGGAAAGAGGACAGAAACCAATCTACTGAGCTGTATTACGAGCTCATGTGTATCACAACCCGCCCTACTGCAGTGGGACAGCCTTTGGCTACAACTGGACACCAAGTCAATACAATACAGTCACGCACAGTTGCTCAATCTTGGAATCATTACGTCAACCTCTACACATCAGCCGAAACACTAAATCATAACCATAATACTGCAACGAAAGCAGCAGAAGAAAAGACAAGGAAAATTAAATTTCTTCCACAAGCTACAGTTTTGTTCACACACACACACACACACACACACACCCACACACACACACACACACACATAACTCTAACCTCAATCTGTCCTCCTGCCAGTTGATGGAACTCTCCCCGCCCAGGATGGATCGTACCGTTGTCATGGTAACCTTTGTCAACCACACCTCGTGTGAATGCCTTTCCAAGCGGCCGCTCCACTCCATCATAAGACGAGCTGCGACAGATCACCTGTGAGTGAGGGCGAGGAGTGACGTGTGTGTGTGTGTGTGTGTGTTTACAAACATATCTGAATCATTTGTCCTGTATCCATGCATTTATAACATGTGCGTCTGTACAGGTGTTCCCCACCCGAACTTCCCTGTGCCTCCGGGGCATTATGGGATCCAGTGAACTGTGTGTGTGTCTCTACAGAGGCCATAAACTACTCTGAGAGAGAGACAGGTAAGTGTGCATGAATCATGCTGGTCAAATTATTCAGTTAAAGGAATACCTTACCCATGAAAGGATCATTTGGATATCCATTACGCATCCTGTGTTACACTGAATTCATTGAGAAAACTTTGTTTTTCCTGTGGAGAATCCAAAAAAGGCAAATATTAATCATGAATTGAAGTCATAGAAGTCAAAACATTTGTTTACAAACTCTCACACAACTCGTGCAGCGTAATCCAAGTCTCATTTATCCAGTCGTCTGCTCAGTACTTCTCAAAGAAAGTCCCAAAACTGAGAAAATTCATGAAGTCATGGGAAGCCGCATTTATGTCTGGGAAAGCACGTGTGTTTGAACTCTGCTCGTGCATTCCAGTGAGCAGAGTTCAAATGCACGCACTTCCCCAGGCATACTACTTCCGTTTGTGAGACTGTTGATGCGGAAATGTTTTAACTCAGAGGTTTTCGCAAAAATGCATGTGTTTGTGAAGTGCTGAGCATTAGACTGGATAAATGAGACTTGGATTATGTGACACCAGCTGTGTGAGAATTTAATGTTTTGATACAGTTTTGCTGCTGTTAAAAAATGGACCCCTATGACCTCAGTTCATCAAGAAGTTTCTCCATTTTTAGTATTTTTTAGATTCTTTGTTCACCATAGAGGTGTGCGAGAAAAACAAAGTTTTCTTCATGAATTCAACATAACACATGATGAGTGATTGATATACAAATGGTGATTTTGTGGGTGAAGTATTCCTTTAAGATGACCCTTGAGGTTTTAAGATAAATGTTTAACAAATGGATCTCAAATTTTTGCTTGTTTTCTGTGAAATACTGAACACTTGCAGCTCATCGGGGCTCTCATATCCACCAAATAAGTCTTGAGGGGAAACTGCTGCATTTTAAAGGAGGTCACAAGCCAAAAAGGTTGTGAACCGCTGTTGTAGGATCCAGCAGAAAATCAATCAGGCTGGCTCTATTTTGGGTTCTTATCCAATACTTAAAGGGTACTTTGCCGATTTTCAACCAGCTCTGTGTCAAAACAATGTAGGTAGTCCTCCATCTAACCAGTGCCTAGATATCCCTGCTCGCCCCCCAACAAAATTCCAAATGGAGTTTTGTAGGCTCTTGGGCTATTGCTTGAACTACAGTCTCTGCTTTTCACATTTTCATGTTGCCCGCCACCCATGCCGCCACCACTGGATCAAAGAGTAAACTCAAACTCAGACCAAAATCCATTCTAGGCAAAACCAGGCGGTACTCAAATACATATTGAAATTAAGTTACTGTATTGCCTATTACTCACCTGCAATGTTTTTAGAAACATATTTTAGTGTCATGTTTAGCTGTAATACAGCTAAATGTGAACAGGAAGTGGGCACCATACTGCTTCCTGCACAGTGAAAACAGAGGCTGAAAAAACTCAGATCAAACGGTTAAACTAGGCAGCGCTGATCAAATATAAATCAAGATTCTGTTACTGAGTTGCCATTTTCTCATCTCAAAAGTTTTCAGAAACATATTTTAGCTCACTGTTAAACTGTAATGCAAGATTGTTTCTTGTCAGCCAGCCGCCATTGTTTCAAAAGGACTTGTTCCCACTACATCACCCAACAGCAGGAGCGTTTATGAGTACAGTACGGGCACCAAATGTGCTAGGGCCACCACTGCTGGGATTTGTAGGCTTTCTCCCTCTTGCGCGAAAGCCTCCTTTTTCTCTATTTTCTCTGGTCATGTAGCACTAATTTTAAAAGTATCGCATCTTTCTACTGCATAGACATAGTAGTTTCATTAAAAGGCCATCCTCTCACTGGTGATACACATCTTTAAACAAATAAAGAACAGCCTTTGCACTCATCAAATGCTAGAAAACAGAGTATTTTGGAAGAATTTACAGCAAATGTAATGTAAACCAGGATGTCAATCAGTCTAAATCGAGCAGCATGCTGCGTTAAAAAACAGGATTTACCTCATCTGTAAAGTGTTTTAATAGTGCAGCAGGTTTAGGACGGGACATCTGACACAAAACAGCAGAGACTTCAACAGCACCAGGTGTTTTCACTGATAGAAGTGGAAATCACCTGCTGCAGAGTTTTAGCAGGAGTCTAAAACCTGCACAGTGTAACCTACGCTGCAATGTGAAGTGCACAAATCTTAATAAAGAAACATGCTTTTATTTTAAAAGTGTGTTTTTAAAAAGTAGATATTGTCGACTTGTCTGTAATTAGTGAACAGAGCTCCCAGCTCTGAGTGAGAATGCAAAGTCATTCAAAATGTGGCTAGAACTTAAACCCGCCCCGAGCAGGTTCTGGGATGTGAGCCAAATGATGGTAAAGAAATGTTTTCAAAAACTCCACCACCACTGCCAAAGGATGATGATAAAGATGATGCCTGAGCAGTAAATAAAATGATCCGAAACGACTTCCCCCTGAGGGAATGTTTATTCAACTGCAACCTGAGAAGCGAAAGTGTCTTTGTGGCATGTTACTTGTACAATCATGTAGTGAACTCCAGTGCCTTCCTTCTCTAGCTACTTCTTTTGCTAATAATAAACAAACTGTACTTATCACACTGACTGAAAATAGATACAGATGGGAAAGAGTCTGAATGTTTACAGACAGTTGACTGCCATGTATTCGTGGTGTGGCTGCAGACAGACAAGACAAAGATGTACATACAACTAAATACCTTCCTTTACTTTTTCTCTTCCAGAGGGGCTGGACTCAGGCCTGCTGGCTCTCTGTGGACCCAACAGGGTTCTACACGAGTCCACCTGCGAGTGTGTTTGTCGAAATGGACTCACCGAGGACAGCTGCGATCCAGGCTGGAAACTGGACCACAACACCTGTAAGAGAGGTTTCAGTTACTGAAAATATTTAACCCTGTACTGTTGTTTGAACGAGAATAAAACCCCCAATGTGACAAGAGGAAGCCCAGGATTTTTAGAAGATGTAAAGACAGAATAGATGAGTATGAGGGGAAACCGGAGAAAACCTGAACGTACTTCTCTACAACAATACAATCTATTTTTCCTGTAGCACCCGATTAATTTACTGTAAACACCTACCTGCTCAGAAGAGTGACGTCATTCTGAAAGTAACCAGGCAAGACAGAGCCAGACAGGATAAACACAGATAGGGGGAACTTTTGGGAAGTAGGCCTTTATGCAAATATCGAACAAGTCAGAACCTGACTAACTAATACTTAGCTTGACAACACTGACTGATGTGTACGGTGCAATATCTGATAAGGTTTGGTCTTAATTCATGAATTCTTTCCTCTCTCAGGTGAGTGCCAGTGTGAAGGTCAAGGTGAGGGGAAGTGGTGCCCAACGGGCCAGCGGTGGGATGAGGAACTGTGTGGCTGTGTGTGTGCCGCGGAGTGTCCCGGGAACCAGCCCCTGAACCCCGACACCTGCCTGTGTCAGTGTAGAGAGAGTCCGCAGTCGTGTCTGCGGCAGGGCAAGAGGTTTAACCCCAACTCTTGCAGGTAGGTGTACCAGAGGGCCGGGAGTCTGTCCTTGTTCTGGTTTTAAAGCCTAAATTCAAGCAAGTGTCCATCCTGCTAAAGTGTCCTTGAGCATAACACTGAACTTCTCAGCTCTGCAGTAGTGGTGGCCCCAGAGATATTTCATAGGGGTGGCCAGATGTGGCTACTGGAAATAGGCTGGTTGTTTTCTTCTTTAAAAAGACAAAACATACATTTTTATCAGGACCACTTTAGTTAAAGAAAACTATTTCCATTTGCAGCATTATATTTTGTGGTATGGCTCTGTTCTGGGGCCTCTCTGCCTTTCCTAGGCCTGTGCAGAAAGCCTCTTCCACACGCCCTACATGGAAGCGCAATGCAGAGAGAACACACCTCCCTGCCCTTCCACACGCCTACATGGAAAGCCTTAAGGCAGAGAGAGCACACCTCCCTGCCCTTCCATGTGCAGCAGCAAAGACCCCCGGGAACAGAGCAGAGCAGCATCAATGACAAACAGAAATGACATTGATAAGTCAGACACAGCATGAAAAGGAGGAGCTGGGGTGGAGGTGGGTTTCAAAGCAGCTTGCAGAGGAAGCAGTAACAGTAGGCAGGCCAGAGCAGTTTAAATAGGGCGTCCTGAATGAGATTTGCCAATTTTTTGCATCAACTCCCCTCTATCAGTTGACTGGGCTGTTTGAGATCAGCTATGTAGCTCTGATGTGAACTGAGCTTGAAATCATGTCCTGCCTGAACTAACGCTGTGCTCAATTTTTATTTTGAAGGAGTTTATTGATTGTAAGGAACAAAATTACTGGAAACAGACCTTCTCAAGTTAAGAGGAGACTTGTGGGTACCCATAGACCATTTTCATTCTGACATCTTCAAGTGAGAGTTCAAGGGACCCTTTTAAAAATGGAAATGCCAGTTTTCTCTTTGACAAAATTTAGCCTAAATTTGGAGCATTATTATTTCTAATCTATTTTGCATTTATAGAAGCTGGATGTGGCACTGGTTGCGATTTGATGTCAATGATTCTACTTCCCCTTTGTTCAGTCATACTTGGACAATACATCAGAAAAGGGGGGGAACTTCCTCCCCCAGGAAATTTTGAACATTAAACTCTTAATTTCCAGCATTCTGGTGAACTTATAGGCATCAATTTATGGTGGAAATGTCTTTAATTTTGTCAGAATAAAAGTCTTCTGCTACTTATATGTCTTTATTGGGGGAAGACAAATGCACATATTCTAAATATTGAAGGAGACATGTCCCCTGCATCCCTCCTGAAATATACGCCTATGCATATGCTGCCTGAAAACTTAATTTCAATTGTCAGTTTGGTTTCTAAGCCTGCGTCAAAGAAATTCACTGGTGTTATCACTTCCTCTTTTCCCACTTCCACAGTTGCATAAAATAAAAGTAAAAAATCCATGACCTGATGTAAACCCACAGTTCAACAATCCTTTAGCTCCACTGCACTTGTTCATAATACCAACAGCCTAACTGCATTACATGAAAGCACCGATGGCCAAAGGTGGCAAAGAACACGCTCAAACTCCTTATAAAGAGCTCTAAGGGAGCATGAAATATTGTTTGCGGTACGGAGCAGGTGATGTAACATTGGCTTGAGGGCCAAAGAAGGTCCTGATCTTTTGGACAGTGATGACTTTGATCAGTACATCCTGTCTGAAAACGTACAACTTGGCAATAATGACAAAACTGCATTAGCACGACTGATTTAAAGCAGGTTTTACTGGCAAGCTTTCTCACATGATTGTGTGTTTTGATGATCCCTGCTTGTTACCTGGTAAACCAGTCTGTGGTCTGTGGTAAGTTCACTCTTTAAAGCTCTAACTCAGTGTTTTGGAACTGTAAGGGCATGACAGTTCCCGTGTTACAGTAACTTCAATTTGCTTCCCATTTTTGCTAATTCAAATGCAGCATTTCTGCACATCAGTTCATCATGTTCACCTGAACTGGTGGCTTATACTGGGTAAACTGGTCCTGTCTGCTGTGCTCAGCCTTGTTGGCCCTTGGGGTACCCTCACAAGTCTTCACCCTGGGATCTCTACAAGAGAACGGGAGTGAGGACACAGTGAGAACCGCAGCTTTGAGAGACAGGCAGTCAGAGGGGGAGAAAACACGCAAACTCTCAATGGACATGTCATACATTCCAAACTCCAAAAAGAAAAACTTTCTTCCTCCATTTTCTTTAGCTCACATGTTTCTGTATGACCTTTTATGGACACAGGGCATCCAAAACATTCGACCGCGGTCTCAGCTGCGTGTGTGTGCATTGCATGCGTGTCGTGGTTCCCACAGCTAGCATGCAAGAGATCAACCTCCCTCTGACCCAAGAGGCCTGCAGGGAGACAGACAGGGAGACTGGGTGAACTTGATGACAGTGAACAGAGCAGCGATCAGACAGGCGGGCAGGCTCAGAGACAGATGGAGTGAAAGGGAAAAACACGCAGGCGGACATGAGCTTTGATATAAGTGATTTGTAATCGTGACTTTACACATGTGGGAAAGTTCACGGACATACACAGTTTCTTAAACTAACTCATCTTAAAAAGTGTGAAACAAATCAAATCTTAATCAAACTTAAACCTTTAAATGTATATATACACTATTGAACTATAGATTATGCTATCAAGCTAATCAAATTTAATCCATCAACAGAATTAACAAACTAAACCATCTTAAGCCACCACACACAACATGAGGTGAACAAATATTTTAACCTGATGAGATGCCATCACACAAACCCAAAAAATAACCTGCACCACAATGAATGAATGAATGAATGAGTGAATGACTATTAAATTGCTCACTTTCCCTAATAACAGCACATCTCACAAACATATATTTTACCTGTGCAGATCAAATTAATCATTACCAATCAAAAGCACACATACAAGTAGCGTCTCTGCAGTCATCTATGCATTGATGCTCAAACATTTGCCTGGCTTGTCTCTCCCTGCAGGCCACACTTTGCAGACAAAGGAGCTCACCTGCCCAGCTGATCCTCCTAATCAAAGCTGGCCTCTCTCTCATCATAATTTGTGTTTGAATTATTGAGTTATGCCCAAAAACATGTTTTGTGGGGTCACAGTGACCTTGACCTTCAACCACCACTTTTTTAATCAATTTATTCTTCGTCAAAGTGGCAATTTGAGGAAACTTCCTTTCAGACCTTCTTGAGATATTGCATTTCTTGAGAATAAGACATACACAACGTCACAGTGAGCTTGACCTTCAACCACCACATTTTTAATCAATTTATTCTTCATCAAAGTGCCAATTTGAGGAAATTTCCTTTCAGACATTCTTGAGATATTGCATTTCTTGAGAATAAGACATACACAACGTCACAGTGACCTTGACCTTTGACCACCAAAATCTGATAAGTTCATTTTTGAGTCCAGGTGGAAGTTGGTGCCAAAATTAAAAAAAAAAATCCCTCTAGCGGGTTAGGTCACAGTGACCTTGACAGTGACCTTGAAATTGTCATAATTAGCATATGAATTCTTGAGTTATGGCCAAAAACATGTTCTTTAATGTCAGACTGACCTTGACAATTGATCACCAAAATCTGAGTGAGTTTGGAGATATTCCCTTGAGGCGTTCTTGAGATATCGCATTCATGAGAATGCGACAGACAGACATTCGTAAGTACGTACAGAAGGAAACCCTAATTAATTACCCTCCTAATTAAAACAGGTTCCATCCAGACCCCAAGGAAGCACGCCAGGTGTTGAAGCTAACTTTCATAGTGGCCAAACAGTGGAATTACACCTCCCGAGCCCATCACATGACGCCACTGTGCCCGAAAAGACTTCTTCCCATAGACTCACAATAGCAAGAGCGACAATAAATCAGTGGACACACCTTTTACGAGCGTCACAACCCCTGCAAAATCCATTTGGTCCGATATTTGGAAAGTCTAGAAGCATCGCACAATTTAATAATTTTATCCCCATTCAAAGCGGTAAAACGGAGGTAGTTGATTTGACTGGTGGAAGCCTGTAATGTGCTTGCTCTATGGGCAGGAACACTTCTTAAGTTTTAATGGGGCTAACCGCTCTATCAAATCACTACTTTGATACTAGCGAGTAGGAGTGGGAATCACCTGAGGTCCTACGATACAATATTGTCACAATACTTAAGTCACAATACAATATTGTGATTTTAAACATGTTGCAATGTGCAGATTATAGCAATATATTGCAATGTATTACCTTTTTTAATTTCAAATTATATCCCCAAAAGAAAATTAAACATCTGTTTTATTTAATGAGATATTTTTTTCAGTCTGGTTATTGCACTTCAGTCATTTTTATTTCAGCAAAATGTATCTTCTGGAATGACAAGCATTTTGAAGAGCTGGTGCAACCCACAGGCTGTATATAGAGATACAGATATTATAGTCAATGGTGCAACCAAAACCAGCTCTTTAATACAGTAAGGGACGTTAGTATTCAAGTATGCAGAATACTTTTACTTTTTTCCCATCATTCTTTTCACTGTTTTCGCAATTTTTTTAAGTTTGATACAACATCTGGTCACAGAAGGTGGTGCACACAAGACAATACACCTACTGTGATTCTGAAGATGAGAGTTCCCAGAGTTTGGCCATATTCTTCCCTCTCTGGAGATATACTTCCTCTTTTTCTCACACACAGAATCGTTTGATGCACGCAAAAAAGCAAAACTTGGATCAGTGGTTTATCCAAAGAGGATGTGAAGATCTGAATAATTGACAGTATTTTTTGCCAAGCGAGTATAATCTCCCCTGTGTCTCCTTTTTTATTTCTTCTCATCTCAACCTCACCCTTTCTTTCCCTCCACCCTTCTCTCAATAATCTTTCTTTCACTCCCCCATTTTAATCTTCCTTTTATGCTCACTTTTTCCTCTCGCTGCTTTTTCTCTCTAATTTTCTGCATTTTTTTTTCTACTTCCCATCCTTCTCTTGATCTTGTTTTTTCTGGCTTTCCCCTCCCATCTCCTTCCTTCTTCGTCCTTCTGTCCAGCTGTTACAGGCTGCCTTGCAGAAAGCCAAGACGTGTGTGCCAGGCTGGTTTTTACTACAGCCACCAAGTCTGCCAGTGCATCCCCAACTACATGAGGCCTGAGTGGAATTAACCAAACACAGGCAGACAGAGGAGAAAGACTGCAGGTGTTGCCCTTCAACACAAGGCGAACCTTTTGGGCCTGAAAACAAAGGGCAATAAGGAGGAAGTGCCTCTTGACAGGAAGCTGGACCCAACATTTGCATGTACTGGATTACAACAGCAGCACTTGGAGGACGACGGGAGTGATTCCCAGTCAGACAATAAGGCCAAAGAGCCATCGGTAATACTCATAAGAGTGGAGTAATGTCAGCCAAAGAGAAAATGAAGAGATATTTGACTCTGTAGGACCCTATCAACACCGATCACAGCTGCCTGAAAGCATGACAGCAAGTGCAGGATGGACCAATCAGACTCTGAGCCAGCGCTTTTCACCGCTGCAACGTGTTCGAGCAAGATATTCAACCACGGACCTGCTGCAGAGACACCACTCATGACTGTGAGAAATGGAAAGAGTGATAAAATAATAACATACCAAATTCCAGACATGCTTTTTTTAGATTAAATACCTGTAGGCACTTTGGCAGGCTTCAGTCATGAGATGTTTAAGAGGTTGAAGGATTTATTTTGCAGGATTCATGTAATGTGATGTTGCCAGGCCTTATATTCCCTCTTGTGGCAGAGGTGGAAATAATGAGTGTGTGTTTTGGTGGCACTAGCTTTAGATTGTAGCGTCTATACTGAAAGGGACAGAGTGAGGCTCTTGTTACAGATAAAAATGTCTTTTTACATAAAAGTCTTAACTGGTGCCGTCAGCCTTCGCATTCCTTCCAAAAGAGAAAGGGTTTATTGCCAGATCCTGTTTAATTAAATGCAAATTCAAACACTCCCAAACAGCTATTATATCCTCCAGTTTCTACTTGCCTCTACTGTAGCGCTGCTCTTTGAAGATTTCACTCATACGAGGCTGAATCCATCATAGTTGATGGTAACACTTGGGTACAGCTCTGGATCTTCTAGTAATTTAATTCTACACACTCTAACTAATATTATTTGTAAATATTTAAATCTTTTTTTCATATTTAAAACTGATATTTTGAAGACGGAATCATGTAGTTGTAAATTACTGTATTTAAGTGATATCATAACTATTGCATGTCTTTGTACTGCAGCAGTTTGAATCATTATGGAGAATTTGATTTGTTTTTAATTGTCAATTTTGCCTGCACTGCAAATTTAATTTTAACAGTTCCGTTAGGCTACAGCTTTAAAAAAAAACAACAACAACAACAACAACATGACTTTAGGGCTCAAAAAGACATTTAATGTTAGGATGAAGATACACTGCAGTGTAAAATGGCTAGTGTTTGTGCTATATGTAGAGAATAACTGAAATTCTTGACCATGCTACTATTAAATATTTAAAGGAGTTAATTTGAAGTACTGATTAAAAGCCTTGCCAGACTGATGGTTTGTGTCCCTGTTTTGTTAGTGTTAAATATTAACAGGGTATACAGGCAGCTACAACCTCTGGAAAACAGGCTGCAAATAGCATCTGCTGTATGTCATAGTCAAAACATTCAAAATTTTAGCCACAAGCTAAACTCATACAACAATAATTAAATTGTACGCTATAGTTTCATTTAAAGCAACACTATAACTTTTGCTGACCATGGCTACATGTTAATTATGAGATTAATGCTATGCTACTGTTTCCAGAACTACTGTTTAGCCTACACATTCTCACTCCAGCCTCGTCACATATCGCTGCTTGGTTGTGGACATTCCTCGTCTGTGTAAGGTGCAACGTTGCCTGGGTGCTTCTGTTGTTGACATTCTGGAACACAGTGTCAATGTCAGCCTGTTGCATACATTGGGTTCAAAATACACTTCCATTTTCAAAGGAAATGTATAGTTTGCATACAGTCTCTTTCAAAATAAATGTAGTACATCAGTACAACACAGTGATTTGACAGTTTTTTCATTCAACAACAAAAGCGCATGGTTAGGTTTGGAAAAAAACAACAGGGTTGGGCTTCACATTCATACGGTGAGCAAACATCAGCCTACCCGGTTGGTAAAGTGTGCTTCCATACAGGCAAACATTAGCTACCACGTGTTATGGTCATACCAAAAATACACACAAAAAAAAAGAACAAAAAGAAAAAGAAAAGTACAATTACAGAAGAGCCAAAACATCCATAAACTGACTCAATAATGTCAGTTACACAGCAATATTTAATGTTATCTAAACTTTGCTAATATTAGCTAACATTAGCCAACATTACATCTTAAAGTTGCAAACATTAGCTCCCCTATCTTAAAGTTGCGAAGATTAACTCCCATATCTTAAACTTGCTAACATTAGCTCCCACATCTTAAAGTTGCTAACATTAGCTCCCATATCTAAAAGTTTCAATCATTAGCTCTCACATCTTAAAGTTGCTAACATTAGCTCCCATATCTAAAAGTTGCAAGCATCAACTCCCATATCTAAAATTTACAGACATTAGTTCCCATATCTAAAATTTGCAAACATCAGCTCCCATACCTACATACATACATATAGTTGCAAACATAAATGGCCATACCTTATATTTGATAAAATTACAAAAAATTAAAATTAATTAAAGCAGAATATTGATTTTCATAGAAATATGTTTTAAATTTTGGAAATGATTACAACGATCTTTCTATGGTAAATTTTGACTTTTGGACATAACACTCGAGTTATTTGAAATGTTTGTATCCTACATAATCCTACACAGCCACAGCTGAAATTCAATTCTACAAATATTATAGTACTTAAAATATTAGTGTGGCCCATTTTTTATCTACAACTGTGCAGAAATATGGGTTTAAACAGAATGAATCGTTATTGAATAAAGCTTCAGCACTTCAAACTATTCAATACAGTCCTAAATACAATAATAGTTTAAAATGTGTTGCTGCTCCTTTAAAAACACCTATTGCATATTAACTCTGGCAAGTAGAGGATAAGAAATGCATTTTGGTCACGTTTCAAACGACAAACCAGTGAAAAGTCCCTACACCTCTCACGTGGACAAATACAGAAACACAAAGACACACACCTGTGGATGGGAACTTGACTCTTCCTGTGGTCTCCTGTTTCTTCCTCTCCCTCTTCTCTGGCAGTCTCTCTCTCTTCCTCTGTCTTTGTCTACCACAATAAACAATATTGACTCAGATGGAAAACAAAGAGATCGCCTTTCTGTCTGGCCCTTGTGACCGTCTGCCTGCCGAACTGCCTCATCACTCGACTGTCTGATCTGTCTGCATCATTGGCTCATTACAATGCATGATTACAGTGATTAATGACTGAGCGGTTATTGCAGTCATCAGCAACAGGAATCCTCAGCTACCTGACACGTAATTAATCTCGGACTGTTTTAGTACAACGCGTGTGAACATCAACAACTGTGCCAAATTAAGAAATAATACAACTGAGTGAGTCTCAGCAGGATTATTATCCACTTTGGCTGCTCTACTGACAGAAGAAACAGGATTTACTTCATTGTAAGGCTTGAAAATGTGTTCATGTTGCCAGAAAATTATCCTGAAATGTCCATGAAGGCAGTGAGTCTGAGCCTGAGGCTACAGCTAGTGGAGGTCCTCTGACTGCAGCCCTGAGTTCAGCTTCTTTTCAAATCAGGAAAATGTTATCAAAATTTAAATCAGTCCTTTCGAGTCCAAGTGGACGTTTGTGCTAAATTTGAGGATATTCACTCAAGGTCATGAAAATAAGACACAAGGTCACAATGACCTCGACTTTTGACTACCAAAATCCAACTATTTGATCACTGAGTCCAAGTGGACATTTATGCCAAATCTGAAAACTCCCTCATGGAGTTTTTGAGACATTGTGTTCCCCGGCATGGGGCGGACAGACAGACAACCCCAAAACATAATGCCTCCTGCCATGGCAACCTCTGGCACAGACATGAAAACGTGGAACCTTTTAGTGCTGGCTTACGCACATTTGGCAACTGGGTTGCCCTTTCTGGTTTTGCCTGTGAAGTAGTCTGGCATGTTGGATGCTAGTTTTAGTATAGTTATGGTAACAGACCAAAGGTTGGCAAAGGTAAGGATTTATCTTTATGAGTGATCAGGTCTACAAAATTCAATATTCTCTTCTCCTCTGCAACCCAACACTGCTGCGTCTTATCTGTTGCCAGGGCACTAAAACATTTTATTTCCTACTTCTGGAATAAATTGCTCATTCCTCTGATGAAAACATGCCAGTCTCTGGTGCAACAGAATAGAACAGAATAGATGCCATTTCAAATAAGTTTTATTTTAACCTCAAGAACAAAATATAAACCCGGCTCCAACACCCCCTTATATAATAAGCCATCGAAACTCTTCAAATATTTACAAAAGATAGAAAATAAAACATAAATAAATATAACCTGCTGCTGCTCATGAAAGACTGGTGCGGCCGCCCGGTAACACTTAAAACTGTGGCTGTTTACAACTTTCTCTCCAAAAGAAAGAGACAGCCTAGAAGAGAAATCGCAATGTTCCTATGGTCTTGGACAGTTCAGTAAAAGATAAAATCTATGTGTAAGTGAGAAAATATAATATAAGCCAGAATGTCAGCTGTTCCACTGACATAATTATAATAGGCAGAACATGACTGGTGACAGAATCCAACACAATATGAGGCGGATACTGGCACATTTTGTGGTAGGTCGTAGTTATTGCTAAAGGAAATTCAACGTGATGGATGTGAGCCTGTCCAGTAATAAATACAGCAGAGCAGTTTTGTAGGTAGAAATCAGTCTGTTGCAAAAATGAGCAAGTAACATCTTGTGTTCTGCAAGAGGAAAAAAGCAATCCGTTAACATAATGAAGAGATTGGTGCACACTGCCCTCTACTGTATACTGATGGTGAGGACAAGCACAGTCTTACTCAAGCCAATAGGGAACTCTGTAGAAGAACTACAATTAATATTTAAACAAGAATTATACATAACATTTTCCCAAAGAAGACTCTGATACAGCAATCTCACAACTTTTCAGAGTTTAGAAAATTAGCTGTAACCTAGGGATGTTTTAAAAAAGCATGATTTTTAGATGCTTCATTCATCGTACAATCCCCGTCCCTTTGAGAGTTTAAGCAGAAATTAACTGATAAATCTTGTGAGGAGTGCAAAAAGCAAAAAAATGGCATAATATGGCTTATGACGTGAAAAATATGGGTCCGAGTCATAGCAGGAGCAGCTTTGTTGTCTTACGTGAGTTTTTTTTTGTTTTGTTTTGTTTTTCACAGCTTTCAAAAGTCCAGTCTTTAAACCACAATCCTTAATCTCCATTCCAGGTGAAGCAGCTGGAAACAGCACAGCGGTTCCAGAGCAGGCACTTCAGTACTAGCTGTTCCGTTAACAGTAAGTGAGATTCAGTTCAGATGTCTTTTATTGATTGGCTATTTTTTGTGTTCTGGCCGCTCTCCGGGGCCTTGCGCGACAGGCATATGCTGCAGTGAAATGTCAGCTAACCCCTTCAGTTCCAAGTCTCGAGACGCACCAGTCGTTGCCCACAGTAATGAACAGGTCATCCAGAGAGCACTGATCCAGTGAGGTATGATCTGTTTGGGGGCTCCACGCAGGTCCACAGGTCAGTATGTCATGCATCCAAAACGTCAATTCACTTGGACTCAATTGGAAACGTTCAAGTGCTGCCTGAAACAGGAAAAAAGAGAGAATAAAGGAGTTTGTAAAACTTTCCTTTTCTTGAAATTACATTCAGAAGCTGAGGGTTGTATTATACTTGAAGACTACACAACTTTAACAGAATATCCTCTACAGATTGTGTTGCAGTGTGCAGCCCTTCCAGGATGTGGCAATGTCACAACTGCAACAATAACTCAAATTCAACCTATCACCGTAAATTCGGCACAAACACCAACACTTTTCAACGGCAAAACACACCCAGAGAAAAGACAAATCATCACAACAGAGGCTGTTGCATCCAGATCTATTATTACACATGCTGAATCAAGCCGAGTTAGATTAAATATGCATGTTCGGTGGTAACTTTAGTATGGTATAAATCTCAAACTCAGAACAGAGCGGTTACGATTAGGGTAATAGTTTCATCTTTTGACTTAGATTTTTAATGACTTAAACGACTTTCTATCCCGTAGAAATGACTTATCTTGTTTCACATCTATTAAAAATTATCATACATGTATATAAAACACAACTATTTTTGGAATTTTCTACAGAGCCACTAAGGTCCTCAAAGGTGATTTTTTTTTGGCATACAAGGTAAATATGTTGTACATGTAAGTTACTATCTCATCCACACGAGATTAAGAAAAAAAATTATCTAAATTTAAATTTATCTATTAAGGCTTGTTAAAGTTAGTAAAGTGATTTTTTTTAGTGTTAACAGTCAGAAAAACAATTTATTGTGTTAGTATGACTAAAACCAGACTTTCAAAATACATGTAAACAAGTTAGTCTAACTGAAATCGTACTTAATCTTATTTCTCAAAGTGCAATTGGGAGTCGAATTACTCCTGCATGTATACAGTCAATCATCCAAGCTGGCCGAGGTGCTCTGCCCATGCTCCACAGTGTCCGCCTCAGGCTTTGACCCGGAAGTCAAATAGCATTAAATGCATAACAGAAGAAAAAAGCAGTGACAACATTGTGAATTCTAAATCTAGGGCAGAGCATTTTTGGACATACCAAATGTGAACAGTTGTGAAAGTTGTCCACCAGGGTACCAATTTGCCACTAGCTAACTGTAGCTAACTTGTTTGTCGACTGTTTGGTTTGTGACGAAATAGCTTAACCAGAAAAAGGTCCAATACCGACAAGCTGAAAGGGGGCATATTGCCACCTATCGTAGTGGAGTCGGACATACCTCAGTCAATAGATCGACTCCCCTCCTATGTTCGTATATTGGGACTAGGACAGCAGTCTAATTAAATTGCCTAGTTGAGCTATAACTGTATCTCGACTTAACTGTGCATGAAAACGTACTGAGTGATTTATATCTGAAATTTTAGTATTGTAAATAATTTCATATGCACATATTGACATAAATCTCAGTAGTTTTTATATGAATCTTGTATCTATATATGCTTTAATCTGCTTTAGATTTCAACTTGCTAAACTTTCCACCAACAATGACTCACCCTCTTCATCCGAGTCGAATCCAAAGACGTTTGAGCACTTCTGCAGTTGCTGATGACTCTGCAGCTCCTCAGCACTGTTGAACGTAGCAAAACAGTTGGCACATCGATGTCTCTGTGGAGCTGTCATAACGCAGCTCTCCTGAGGAGCGGGGCTTCTCTGAAAGGACGGGAGGAACGACAGCTGCTTCCTTCGTTTTGGCATGGTGATGTACTTCTCATCCAGGTATGCTGTGGGTGGTGGACGCATGTATGGCTTCTTGCCATACTCTGCAAGAGTATTTATCAACACTGTCGATTTTGCATCTTCACTTGCTGCTTGTCCGTTCATTGTTGGAGAGTGACCAGAGCTGTTAACTGGTTTTGTTTCCACTACAGTTTTTCCGTCTTCACCTACAGAGCTCTCCACCTTAGGCTGAACTATGCATTTTTTCTTGACAATCTTCGTGTCACCTTCTTTTTGAACATTCTTGCGCTTCTTATTTGCCTTGTTGGGGTCTGAGTCTTTTTTGACATGAGATTTCTTGGATTTTTCCTTTTTTATTCCTTTCTCCATGCTCTCTTCTGGGGCAGTGAGTTGCAAGGTTGTTTCATTTGAGCCACTATCTGTGGCAGGAGGGGTGGAGGAACCAGAGCTGCTGACTGTTGCATCTGTTCCTTCTTTTGCTTTTCCGTCCACATCAGAAGAGCCCTCTACTACTGCTGCTGCTTTAGCCTTCACTTGTTGGTCTGGAGATTTTGACGTAGCTTTCTTTTTCAAAGCAGGTGGTTTGCTTGGATCTTTGCATGGCCGCCCTACCTCGAGTGTTTTCTTGTCCCTTTTTTTATTAATATCTTTGTGCTTCTTATTTGTCTTGCCTGAGTCTGAAGAAGCCACAATCTTTTCTTTCTTTCCTTCTTTTTTTATGTGTAATTTCTTTGAAGTTACCTTCTGTGTTTTCTCTCCTGAGATGGTGGGTGGTGCAGTTATCACATCTGAACTGTTCGTGGGGACAGCAGGCACAGCATTACCAGAGCTGCTTTGTGTTGAGTTGGTGTC